CTGGATTTTCCCCCTTTTCTTTTTATTTTGCATTTACTATTTTGCTATATTTCGCCAGTGCAGGTCGACAACTTTTCACTGCCGACGACACTAACGGCTACCATAGATCAGTTCCGACCCGGCCTGGTGCTGGGGGACTTGGACTCCGACTATATCCTCCTCCAAGCCTCCTTTGGGTACCAAGCTGGGCATTAGATTAGACAATTTGTTGGGGCTTCGGCGACGAACAGTTTGTGCCTGCAAGCGCCAGGGTCGAGTCTTGGTGGAATTTATCACCGCGCCCCCTTCGATAGTTTCCCCGGCGTGTTAATTGAAAATTGTACGGTAATGTTGCTTATCGCGCGGCTATCAGACGTCTCCTCCAAGACCCAAAGAGTCTGGATGCCCATATACCCCAACATGCCTGCTTGCGTGTGCCTAGTCCATGTTGGTGGGCAGCCTGCCACACCTTGAGACACCACCACCTTGGAACACCACGCATCGACTTTGCCTCCCAGCTTGCGGTGAAAAGTTTTCTAACACATTTTGACAACTTTTCGGGGAACGCACTTAAAAAATAATTTATCGCCGCTGACATTTTTCGTGACTTTAATTGCCCCGTGCGCACTTCGATAGTGATTTACCTGTTGCGGTCTAGCAGCTTCTTGTCTATAGATTTGTACATTGTTGCTGTTGTTGTTGGGCTTAGCCAGGTAAGCTTCGCCTTAGACTCGTAAGCGGTTGACGCTTGATTCGGGCTTAATTGCTTTTTCACCCAATGCGGATGATGGATCGCATGGCGATTGAGAGAGCACCAAGTTACCTTTTTATTTGAAGGAAGGGGGAGTCTACACTCTTAAAATCCGGAAGTAAGCTAACCACAAAATGCCTCACTTACCTTTAGACGTCTCGCTTTTGACCCAATCAGAATCTTTTTTTAAATGCCTACCAAACGAGCAAAGTCTAACACTGTTTTGGGTAGTTCAAGGTGAGCTTACACTTTTTATTAAGTACATCATAATACTTATTAAACTGACCACAGAAGCACTTGTACTTGTAGTCTTTAACTTACACTTTTCTATAAAAACCTGTGCCAAAACCTCAGAGCCAAATCAGTGTTTAGAACTACTTCAGGCTGTTTGTTCTCCCAGGTTGAGAATAGAACACTAACTATGATTACATTTGATTTTCTTTTGACCGTTGGAGTCTTTTGTTGGATATACTTCTTATGGAATCGACGAAGATACTATAAGCTGCTACTGGAGCTACCAGGACCAATGGGTCTTCCAATTTTGGGCATGGCATTGGATTACTTCGTGCTCTTTAAACGTAAATCTTGGTACTCAAAGTAACATTAGCAGTGGAATAATAAAAACTTCTTTGGTCGCAGGTAAAATTAAAATACGAACCAATTATATGGACAGGTATGGCTCTACATGCCTGACTTGGGTAGGGCCAATGCCGTTTATCATAACACGGGATCCCAAGATTGCCGAGGAAGTACTTATGTCCTCGGATTGCCTCAATAGGAGTTCGCAGTTCACCATTCCATTTGCCGGTGCTGGAGGAGATGGCTTGCTAACCCTACAAGGTAAAGAAAATGCAGTAATATTTTTAAATATTATAATGGTATTGTTATAGGTCACAAGTGGGCTGAACGTCGCAAGCAGCTTAATCCCACATTCAAGCACAATACCCTGCTGAGCTTCCTTCCCATTTTCAATGCCGAGACAAAGGCATTGGTGTCCTTCCTGGACTCATATGTTGGTCAGGGAGAAAAGCTGGTCAGATCGGATATAGTCAGATGGTCGTTTAGAATAGCCACTCGTAAGTAAAGTGATTTATGTTACTCATATATCTTTTGGATATATCTTTAAATATCTCTGCAGAAACAACAGTGGGATCTGATGTGAAGCAAGAAGAAGCCTTTAAGAACGATTCAATTTTGAGGAGTTATGAGACGTAAGAGAATAACTAACTTTCACCCTTTTTGTCTACTAAACACAATATTTTATACATTTTTAGGCTCATGCATATGATCACCATGAATGTTATGTTACCTTTTACTCACAACAAAATAGTTTCCACGCTGTTCGGATTTGAACACAAAAAAATAGAGGCCGCAAATAAAATTATCGCTCTGGTAGACAAGGTGAGTTTAGTCTGTTCTTAGAAAGATAGTACCTTTAATTCTTGCTCGTTTTAGATCATCCACAAGAAGTTAAATATAAAGCCAGAAATCGGTGATAGTAGCTCCGTAATCAATAAGGCAATTGAACTCCATCGCAATGGAGAGATTCCTTTTGAACTGGTGAGAGGTGAATGTGGTGCCATGGTGGTCGCTGCCTTCGAGACAACTGGTCTTACGGTCTACCATACCCTCACACTGCTAGCCATGTTCCCCGAGTACCAGGAAACGGTTTATGAAGAGCTCAAAGACCTCTTCCCAACGACCGGTGACTTCGATGTCACCTACGATGATCTCCAAAAAATGGTCTACCTGGAGCGAGTGTTGAGTGAGACCTTGCGATTGATACCATCCGTGCCGATTTCTCCGCGGGAACCGACGCAGGACTTCCGGCTGTCCAGTGGAGTAGTCATTCCCAAAGGAGTCACAATTGGCATCGATATATTCAACATCCATCGCAACGTGGATCATTGGGGTCCCAACGCAGGCCAGTTCAACCCAGATAACTTCCTGCCGGACAATATTCGCGAAAGACATCCATACGCCTATATTCCATTCTCAAAGGGAAGAAGAAATTGTATAGGTGGGTCTGTTTTTTGCTTTTTAATTACATTTATAAAATATTTTATTGTTTTTTTAAGGTTGGAAATATGGTTTGATGTCTTCTAAGCTTGCTTTATCCAAGATACTTAGAAACTACAAAGTCACCACGTCTTTCCGATACGAGGACCTCGATTTCTGTGACAATGTGGGAATGGAGCTGGCGCAACCGCCTTCTTTAGAATTTCATCGAAGGACCTAAGGCAAATACAATTATCAACATTATTTGTTATAAAAAAAAACTATATCAGAATATTTTAGAATTTAACTCTAGAATATCTCTTGATGGGGGACTAATATGCTGTTAAAAGGTACTGAGTTTAAGAGGCTCAACTTAATAAATAATAATATATAAATATAAATTAAATTCAGGAAATATTAAAATATTATAAAAATTGTTCTTCTGTCGTTGTTAGTCGTAATTTTTATGAAGGAGCACAAGGTAAATGGTTATCAAAGCAATTAGGCACTTGAGGTTATAGCCATAAATAGGTTCCCACTTAAATTTTGAGAACATCGGAATATAAAAACTCACCAAATTGGAGTACAAACCCACGATATATTTATCGTCTGACTTTGTTCAGAAGCACATAGCTTGGCTATAATTATGTTCGGGAAAATATTAATCGCAGTGTGTCTAATTTTATGGATTCGCTTTCTGTGGAATCGGCGAAAGTTATATACGATGTTACTAAAGCCTTCAGGAACCATGGGACTCCCAATTATCGGGGTTGTTATACAAAATATATTGTTTCTTAGAGGTAAGTTCGATTATCAATTAGTAAATAATAATAATAGTTATTCATTGATAGGTAAAATGAAAAAACGAACCCCGTTCATGAACAAGTATGGCTCAACCTTTTTGACCTGGATGGGCTTCACACCGGTTGTTATGACACGGGATCCAAATGTCGCCAGGGAAGTCCTCCTGTCATCAGTATGCTTAAATAGGAATGAGCATTCAGCCAATGCCATGGCTCTAAGTATGGGACTCGGATTGTTGACTTTACAAGGTACTGAAGATTACTATATGTAACTCTAATTACTCGAAATTATTGGAAATCTTTCAGGAGCACCGTGGATGGAGCGTCGCAAGCAGATGAATCCGGCATTTAAGCAAAATGTTCTGCTCAGCTTCTTTCCTATTTTTAATGATGAAAGCAGAGCTCTGGTGAACTTATTGAACTCCTATGTTGGAAAGGGTGAAATTGACGTCCTCCCAGAGATAATTAAATGGTCTTTCAGAATTTCCTTCCGTAAGTAAAACCGATATCATAATTATTGGATTGGGTTGTACCAGTTTTTGAACTTAGAAACCACTGTGGGAACCGATGTAAAGGAAGAAGAAAATTTCGAAAACGATACAATATTGAAGAGCTATCAGTCGTAAGAGGTCCCTAAGTTGGTATACTTTTGCACTATAAATATTTTACTCTTTACAGGTTAGTACATATTACCTCACTCTATATTTTACTTCTTTTATTGTCTTTAAGGAAATTAAGGATATATTCCCGATGGTTGGAGATTTTGAAGTAACCTACGAGGATCTGCAAAAAGTTCCTTACTTAGATCGCGTTTTGAATGAAACCTTGCGATTGATACCTTCCGTTCCGATCTCGGTTAGGGAGCCAAAAGAGGATTTTCGGCAATCGAATGGAGTGGTCATCCCCAAAGGAGTCTTAAAGGAGGCTGACATTTTTCGTGACTTTAATTGCCCCGTGCGCACTTCGATAGTGATTTACCTGTTGCGGTCTAGCAGCTTCTTGTCTATAGATTTGTACATTGTTGCTGTTGTTGTTGGGCTTAGCCCGGTAAGCTTCGCCTTAGACTCGTAAGCGGTTGACGCTTGATTCGGGCTTAATTGCTTTTTCACCCAATGCGGATGATGGATCGCATGGCGATTGAGAGAGCACCAAGTTACCTTTTTATTCGATGGAAGGGGGAGTCTACACTCTTAAAATCCGGAAGTAAGCTAACCACAAAATGCCTTACTTACCTTTAGACGTCTCGCTTTTAACCCAATCAGAATCTTTTTTTAAATGCCTACCAAACGAGCAAAGTCTAACACTGTTTTGGGTAGTTAAAGGTCAGCTTACATTTTTTATTAGGTACATGATAATACTTATTAAACTAAACACAGAAGCACTTGTAGACTACAAGCTATAACTTACACTTTTCTATAAAAACCTGTGCCAAAACCTCAGAGCCAACTCAGTGTTTAAAACTACTTCAGGCTGTTTGTTCTCCCAGGTTGAGAATAGAACACTAACTATGATTACATTTCATTTTCTTTTGACCGTTGGAGTCTTTTGTTGGATATACTTCTTATGGAATCGACGAAGATACTATAAGCTGCTACTGGAGCTACCAGGACCAATGGGTCTTCCAATTTTGGGCATGGCATTGGATTACTTCGTGCTCTTTAAACGTAAATCTTGGTACTCAAAGTAACATTAGCAGTGGAATAATAAAAACTTCTTTGGCCGCAGGTAAAATTAAAATACGAACCAATTATATGGACAGGTATGGCTCTACATGTCTGACTTGGGTAGGCCCAATGCCGTTTATCATAACACGGGATCCCAAGATTGCCGAGGAAGTACTTATGTCCTCGGATTGCCTCAATAGGAGTTCGCAGTTCACCATTCCATTTGCCGGTGCTGGAGGAGATGGCTTGCTAACCCTACAAGGTAAAGAAAATGCAGTAATATTTTTATATATTATAATGGTATTGTTATAGGTCACAAGTGGGCTGAACGTCGCAAGCAGCTTAATCCCACATTCAAGCACAATACCCTGCTGAGCTTCCTTCCCATTTTCAATGCCGAGACAAAGGCATTGGTGTCCTTCCTGGACTCATATGTTGGTCAGGGAGAAAAGCTGGTCAGATCGGATATAGTCAGATGGTCGTTTAGAATAGCCACTCGTAAGTGAAGTGATTTATATTACTCATATATCTTTTGGATATATCTTTAAATATCTCTGCAGAAACAACAGTGGGATCTGATGTGAAGCAAGAAGAAGCCTTTAAGAACGATTCAATTTTGAGGAGTTATGAGACGTAAGAGAATAACTAACATTCACCCTTTTTGTCTACTAAACACAATATTTTCTACATTTTTAGGCTCTTGCATATGTTCACCATGAATGTTATTTTACCTTTTACTCACAACAAAATAGTTTCAACGCTGTTCGGATTTGAACACAAAAAAGTAGAGGCCGCAAATAAAATTATCACTATGGTAGACAAGGTGAGTTTAGTCTGTTCTTAGAAAGATAGTACCTTTAATACTTGCTCGCTTTAGATCATCCACAAGAAGTTAAATATAAAGCCAGAAATCGGTGATAGTAGCTCCGTAATCAATAAGGCAATTGAACTCCATCGCAATGGAGAGATTCCTTTTGAACTGGTGAGAGGTGAATGTGCTGCCATGGTGGCCGCTGCCTTCGAGACAACTGGTCTTACGGTCTACCATACCCTCACTCTGCTAGCCATGTTCCCCGAGTACCAGGAAACGGTTTATGAAGAGCTCAAAGACCTCTTCCCAACGACCGGTGACTTCGATGTCACCTACGATGATCTCCAAAAAATGGTCTACCTGGAGCGAGTGTTGAGTGAGACCTTGCGATTGATACCATCCGTGCCGATTTCTCCGCGGGAACCGACGCAGGACTTCCGGCTGTCCAGTGGAGTAGTCATTCCCAAAGGAGTCACAATTGGCATCGATATATTCAACATCCATCGCAACGTGGATCATTGGGGTCCCAACGCAGGCCAGTTCAACCCAGATAACTTCCTGCCGGACAATATTCGCGAAAGGCATCCATACGCCTATATTCCATTCTCAAAGGGAAGAAGAAATTGTATAGGTGGGTCTGTTTTTTGCTTTTTAATTACATTAATAAAATATTTTATTGTTTTTTTAAGGTTGGAAATATGGTTTGATGTCTTCTAAGCTTGCTTTATCCAAGATACTTAGAAACTACAAAGTCACCACGTCTTTCCGATACGAGGACCTCGATTTCTGTGACAATGTGGGAATGGAGCTGTCGCAACCGCCTTCTTTAGAATTTCATCGAAGGACCTAAAGCAAAAACAATTATCAACATTATTTGTTATAAAAAAAACTATATCAGAATATTTTAGATTTTAACTCTAGAATATCTCTTGATGGGGGACTAATATGCTGTTAAAAGGTACTGAGTTTAAGAGGCTCAACTTAATAAATAATAATATATAAATATAAATTAAATTCAGGAAATATTAAAATATTATAAAAATTGTTCTTCTGAGCCAGTTAGTCGTAATTTTTATGAAGAAGCACAAGCTAAATGGTTATTAAAGTTAATGGTTAGGCACCTAAGGTTATAGCCATAAATAGGTTCCCACTTAAATTTTGAGAACATCAGAATATAAAAACTCACCAAATTGGAGTACAAACCCACGATATATTTATCGTCTGACTTTGTTCAGAAGCACATAGCTTGGCTATAATGATGTTCGGGAAAATATTAATCGCAGTGTGTCTAATTTTATGGATTCGTTTTCTGTGGAATCGGCGAAAGTTATATACGATGTTACTAAAGCCTTCAGGAACCATGGGACTCCCAATTATCGGGGTTGTTATACAAAATATATTGTTTCTTAGAGGTAAGTTCGATTATCAATTAGTAAATAATAGTAATAGTTATTCATTGATAGGTAAAATGAAAAAACGAACCCCGTTCATGAACAAGTATGGCTCAACCTTTTTGACCTGGATGGGCTTCACACCGGTTGTTATGACACGGGATCCAAATGTCGCCAGGGAAGTCCTCCTGTCATCAGTATGCTTAAATAGGAATGAGCATTCAGCCAATGCCATGGCTCTAAGTATGGGACTCGGATTGTTGACTTTACAAGGTACTGAAGATTACTATATGTAACTCTAATTACTCGAAATTATTGGAAATCTTTCAGGAGCACCGTGGATGGAGCGTCGCAAGCAGATGAATCCGGCATTTAAGCAAAATGTTCTGCTCAGCTTCTTTCCTATTTTTAATGATGAAAGCAGAGCTCTGGTGAACTTATTGAACTCCTATGTTGGAAAGGGCGAAATTGACGTCCTCCCAGAGATAATTAAATGGTCTTTCAGAATTTCCTTCCGTAAGTAAAACCGATATTATAATTATTGGATTGGGTTGTACCAGTTTTTGAACTTAGAAACCACTGTGGGAACCGATGTAAAGGAAGAAGAAAATTTCGAAAACGATACAATATTGAAGAGCTATCAGTCGTAAGAGGTCCCTAAGTTGGTATACTTTTGCACTATAAATATTTTACTCTTTACAGGTTAGTACATATTACCTCACTCTATATTTTACTTCCGATTCTCCGAAATAAAATTGTATCAAAGCTGTTTGGTTTTGAGAAACGTAGAGAGAGGGCTGTTTCTACGATATCTAAAACAATGGACAATGTGAGTTACTACTGTCCATAGGAAAATGCTTAACCTTATCCTTTCAGATCCTTGACAAAAAAATGAGATCTCATCCAGAAAGTAATCCGGAATCTGAGATGAAAATTATTATTGAAAGAGGAATTGAACTTTTTCGAATTGGCGAAATGCCTTTCGAAGAGCTGAAATCTGAATGTGGCTCCTTGATTGTTGCTGCCTTCGAGACTACTGCTCATACGGTATACCATACCCTGGTTCTACTGGCCATGTTTCCCGAATGCCAGAATATTGTCTTTAAGGAAATTAAGGATATATTCCCGATGGTTGGAGACTTTGAAGTAACCTACGAGGATCTGCAAAAAGTTCCTTACTTAGATCGCGTTTTGAATGAAACCTTGCGATTGATACCTTCCGTTCCGATCTCGGTTAGGGAGCCAAGCGAGGATTTTCGGTTATCGAATGGAGTGGTCATCCCCAAAGGAGTCTTGATTGTCATCGACATATTCAGCGCCCATCGCAACCCTGATCACTGGGGTCCAGAAGCAGATAACTTTAATCCTGACAACTTTATACCGGAAAATATTGGCGAAAAACATCCCTTTGCTTATATTCCCTTTTCGAGGGGTAAGCGAAATTGCATAGGTAAGTTTGTTTTTAATAAGTAATTATATTTATTTTAATTTCATTTTATATTCCTCAGGCTGGCGATATGGAACGCTATCTTCTAAGTTGGCTTTAGTCAAGATACTTAGAAACTTCGAAGTAAGCACTTCCTTTCGCTATGAAGACCTGGACTTTGTTGACAACTTGGTCATGAAGTTGGCTCAGGTACCACGTCTAGTCTTTCAAAGAAGAACTTAGAAATCATTTGAAATTCGCGTTCTAATATAACGTATTTACAAAAGTTTAAATCTGTTGTATTTTCATATAAAATAAACTTTATATTTACATACATTATATTTTACAAGCTATATCAACGCCTTACAAAGTTGAACCACTGCCTATAATTAAAATTTTACGGTCACTTTCTTAGCTTAGCAGCGTTATTTGGCAAGTCTGGGGCTAAACAGCAATAAAAGTGGGGTTAGCCATTAATATATTCCCCTTTCAATTAGGGGATCGTTACCCCTTAAAAATCTTGATCTAAGCCCAACAAAATGCAGCCTCAAACTGATATATGTATAACGTTTGTCAAACGCTGATAAGCCTCACAAGTTTTTTGTACGATGCTGGCAATGTACTTTCTCATTTTCGCGGCGATACTTTTGTGTGTTCTATTCCTTTGGAGGCGACGCAGTTTTTACAAGCTTATGATGCAGTTGCCCGGACCAAAGGGACTTCCTCTGCTCGGGGTGGCTGCTGAGTATATTATCAATAAACGTAAGTTTTATGACCAACTTAGGATGTATTAATTTAAACTAATTTTGTCATTAACTGCAGGTAAAATGAGTTGGAGAACTAACAATTTTCATAAATATGGCTCAACTATGTTATGCTGGGTGGGTCCGATTCCATTTTTGATTACTAGGGATCCTAATGTCGTAAAGGATATCCTGATATCTTTTGAGTGCATCAACAAGGCCATGTATCCTGTTAATGCCATAGAAAAATGTGTTGGAGAGGGACTTTTGTCTTTGCGAGGTATTTTGTTAGGTTTAATTTTATACTAAGTTATTTTAATTATTTATTATTTTTATGTAGAGCCTCAATGGAATCCCCGCCGAAAGCAAATGAACCCCGCATTCAAGCAAAGTATCTTGTTGAGTTTTATACCAGTTTTCAGTGATGAGACGAATGCATTACTTAGCTTAATCGATACTTTTGTCGGTCAGGGTGAAAGGGATATGTACTCAGATATACTTCGATGGTCTTTTGGAGTATCCATTAGTGCGTATATTGAATCAAACTTTGTAAGAATCTTTAAATTAATAATATCTTAATAATTTATTCTTACAGAGACCACTTTGGGCTCTGATATTGAAGAAGATGAGAACTTTAAAAACGACAAGCTAATGGAAGAGCTACGAAACGTAAGTAAATCTTAAAAGATATTCCTTTTTTCTCTAATACTGATATAATTTCACAGAGTTGTGTCTCTGATTACTGTCAAATCCTTAATGCCTTTGGTTCAGAACAAAACTATTTCCAAACTTTGCGGTTATGAAAGAAAGAGAATAGATGCCGCCTTTATTATAGACAAAACAATTAAAAACGTGAGTAGAGAAACTTAATCAAGAAGTGGCCAATAAAATAAAATATTTCCAAATTAGGTTATACAAAAGAGAATGAATGAGAGTGACTTGAAAAAGAATTACACCCAAAGCTCAAATAAAGTGATTAACCGAGCCATAGAACTATTTCGAAATGGAGACATAAGCTACGAAGATGTGAAGAGCGAGTGCAGTGTTATGGTTTTAGCTTCTTTTGAGACAACTGCTCTAACAGTTTGGCACTGTCTTATTCTGATGGCCATGTTCCCCAATTACCAGGATATGGCATTTGAGGAACTTAAGACCGTCTTCCCAACGAACGGTGACTTTGAAGTGACCGAAGATGATCTCCAGAACTGTGAATATTTGGATCGAGTGCTAAACGAGACGATGCGATTGATACCATCTATTCCTTTTATCCCGAGAGAAACATCCCAGGACTTTCGCCTTTCAAATGGTCTTCTTATTCCTAAAGGAGTTGTTATGGGTGTTGACATATTCAACACCCACCGGAACAAGGACTTCTGGGGATCAGAGGCAAACACTTTCAATCCAGACAACTTTCTGAAAGAGAACATCAGCGAAAGGCATCCCTACGCTTTTATACCCTTCTCAAAGGGCAGAAGGAATTGCATAGGTTAGCTTAATATTTGTCAACATATTATGTTCGAAATAAGTTTTTAATTTATACATTTATTTTATAGGCTGGAAATATGCATTGATGTCATCGAAACTCGCTTTAGCCAAAGTACTTAGGAACTATAAAACATCCACATCTTTTCGTTATGAGGATCTGGTTTACGTTGACAACATGGGCATGAAGCTGGCCGTACATCCACGACTAGAATTTCATCGACGAGATAAGGATATTTAGCTAATTTAAATGCATCTAAAATTAAATCTCTTTTGTTTTTTATAATATATAATAATAAACAAATTAAGAGTAACAACTTATACTTTTCATTTTAATATACAAATTTACCCTTTATACCCTTTTACCCTTTACTTTCTAAGCCGATTTTAAAATAATTATTTTGCCTCTAGAAAGGGAGCAAGTTAATAATTTATAAATTTTTATAATTTTAACTTTTTGTCAGAAAAAAACATTTTTATAATGTGAAGGTGACGTCGCTGACCATAAATTTCTTAATAAATTGCGAAAAAATTTCTTAATAAATTGCGAACTAATTTGGCGCGAAAGATTTTTGAAAAATATTTCATGCGCTAAATATCGATTGCTTTTTAAGATTTCGGCGGAAAAACGCCACCTTAAGATGCGCTGCCATCTCAAGAATATATATACTTAAGACTTACCAACTTGCATCTGTTGGGAGCGCGTCTTAACAAGACGCTGAATTAAACTTGTCGCATGCTAAGGCCCTTTATAGGAGACTATTTGACACCTAATCCAACTTAATCCCAGATTTGTATCTTTTATAGTTCCTGAGATCTCAGCATTCATACGGACAGAGGGACATAGCTAAATCGGCTCGGCTATTGATCCTGATCAAGAATATATTATATTATACCTCATGTACATATTATATATTCAAAACAGCCTTTTACTCAACGAGTAACGGGTATAAAATTAAAAAATGTTTCTATCGTAAGCCTTTTGACCTTTGATCTCCACACAATTAACGAAGGTTAAATTAAATTAAGGTAATTGCAATTAAATGTGATACATTTTGTTCTCTATATAAAGCTGCTCAGAATCTGCCAAATCTCCCAGATTTAACTTAGTCGCTCAACAAGATTGCAAACAGTGAAGAAAACTGGTTGAAATGCTGACTTGTCAATTTCTTAAGGGCTTGGCTTTACTTTTGTGGATATATTTCTTATGGAGTCGACGTAGGTTCTATCTTATGATGATGAAGGTGCCCGGGCCAATGGGGCTTCCTTTTATTGGACTTGCCGCTGATTACATTCTCCTAAAACGTAAGTACTAGACTTCTGATATACCCTAACAAGAACATACAAAGAGTTCTGATCACCAGGTAATATAGGAACACGAACTTTGTTTTTCGAGAGGTTCGGAAAAACTGGAATGACTTGGATTGGATTAACCCCAGTTTTGGTAACCTGTGAGCCAAAGATCCTTGAGGACATTTTAATGTCTCCCCATTGCACCAATAGAAGCTCGGTTGTGGATAAAGCCATCTCATCCTGCCTGGGTTTGGGGCTTTTGACTTTAAAGGGTAACTTCAAAATACTAAGAACTTTTTAAAGGGAAAACTCAATAATTAATTTAGATCCACATTGGCAAGAACGACGGAAACTTCTGGCTCCATCATTTAAGAATAATGCTATTCTAAGTTTCGTTCCTATTTTGAACCATGAATCGAATTCCCTGGTGACTTTACTTCGTAGCTTTGTTGGTCAAGGGGAGAAAAACTTGCTGCCAGAGCTTAGTACTTGGTCATTTAAAATAGCAGCTCGTAAGTATATAAATTATTAAAATACTGCTTAACTTCTTACCTCTGTGAATTTAGAGATAACAATGGGAAGTGATGTTAGGAAAGAAGCTAACTACAACAACGGCAATCTGTTGAGGAACTACAAGGCGTAAGACTATTCCAATCATAAAAACTAACTAGAACAACTTGTTTTTATATCACAGCCTTAATGGCCTGATACCTCTAGGAGTAGTGATGCCTTGGCTCAGGAACAAGCATATTGGAAAGCTGAGTTGGTATGAGAGCAAAAGACTCTAGGCCACATCCCAGGCATACGCCGTTATCAAAGACGTATTAATAGCTGAGTAAAGTGTTAAATACCCACTTAAAACAATATATTTTTTAGATTATTGACAAAAAGCTAAATGGCAATGTAGAAGATAGCACGGAACCAGCCTTAATCGATCGTATTCTTGATCTTGTTAGGAATGGCAGCCTTTCTTATGACGACGTAATGGGAGAATTTTCAAATATAATCTTTGCTGCTTCGGATACTTTATCCATAACGGCCAATAATGTCCTTATTCTCCTAGCAATGTTCCCAAAAATCCAGGATAAAGTTTATGAGGAGCTTAAAGAAGTGTTTGCCACAGAAGGAGAATTTGAAGTCAGCAATGATGACTTGGAGAAATTGGTGTACTTGGATCAGGTGTTGCATGAAACGTTGCGCTTGATACCTGCAGTTCCCCTCTTGATAAGGCAAACAGACCAGGATATTGAGCTTTCGAATGGATATCACATTCCCAAAGGTGTAACCCTGATGTTGGATGTTTTTCACACTCATCGCAATAAGGATGTCTGGGGACCACGGGCTAATGACTTTAATCCCGCCAACTTTCTGCCTGAAAGTAAGAGAGAGCGGCATCCCTATGCATATTTGCCTTTTTCCAAGGGAAAGAAAACTTGTTTAGGTTAGTAAACATTTTCTATGTTATTATAATTTAATTTTAATATTCTTTTTTATTCAGCTTGGAAGCTTTCATTGATGTCTGCAAAGCTGACTCTGGCTAAAATATTACGAAACTATAAGCTGAGTACCAAGTTTCTTTATGAAGACCTTCAATTCATGGACAACACTACTATTAAGATTTCTAACCAACCAATGATAGAAATTCAACTTAGGAACTAAGTCTTAGTAAAAGTAACCACTGTCTTTGTAATGGTATTTATAAATATACCTTTTAGTCTAAGTTATAGACCAACTAGAATGCGTGTTAGAACTTGTCATCAAAAACACATTTCGGCATTCACATCAAAATTTTTCGAAATGACAACAACTTAGAAATTTCTTCAACATCAAAATTTGTAGTGCCCTAAAATGTTGGCTCTGGCCAGGAATTCGTGGTGTGGCCAAATTCTCAGTCGCCTGGCAAACATCGACGCCTGTTGCCAGTACTCAAAGTCATCCTCCGGCGGAAAACAGGGAAAATACAAGATCGTAATGGTTCGACATGGAGAGTCCGAATGGAACCAGAAGAACCTTTTCTGTGGATGGTTCGATGCCAAGCTCTCGGAGAAGGGCCAACAGGAAGCCTGTGCAGCCGGCACTGCCCTTAAAAACGCCAAAATGGAGTTCGATGTGGCCCACACCTCGTTGCTGTCCAGAGCCCAAGATACACTCACGGCCCTCCTGTTGTCCAGCGAGCACAAGAAGATCCCGGTGTGCTTCTCCTGGCGGCTCAATGAACGCCACTACGGCGGACTGACAGGACTGAACAAGGCCGAGACCGCCAAGAAGTTCGGCGAGGATAAGGTTCAGATTTGGCGCCGCAGCTTTGACACTCCGCCTCCGCCCATGGAGAAGGATCATGACTACTACGCCTGCATAGTCGAGGATCCGCGTTACAAGGACCAACTTAAGCCAGAAGAGTTCCCCAAAGCGGAGTCCCTAAAGCTGACCATCGAACGTACTTTGCCCTACTGGGAAGAGGTAATCGTGCCACAAATCAAGGAGGGAAAGCGTGTGCTGGTCGCCGCCCATGGCAACAGCCTACGTGGTGTGGTCAAGCACTTGGAATGCATCTCCGATAAGGACATCATGGGTCTTAACCTGCCCACCGGCATCCCCTTTGTCTATGAACTGGATGAGAATCTCAAGCCCTTGGCCTCTCTTAAATTCCTAGGAGATCCCGAAACAGTTAAGAAAGCCATGGAATCGGTTGCAAACCAGGGAAAAGCCAAGTGATCCGAGATTTTGGGAATATCATCTCTCCTCCTAAGTTAGTGCAATCAGCTCAATGCACTTGCATGCCAAACAAAAACAGCGGATCGAAAGTGCCCACAAGGGGACTGTGGCAAGGCGAATGTCAAGCAGCAAATAAATTTATTTGATTTTAATTGACAATGAAAAGTCAACAACGTTGGGCTGGCCATTGGTCTTTTGGTCTCTTGGACTCTGTCGATGGCTCTGGCCCTGGCTCTGGGTCTGGGTCCCAGGGTCTGGATCTGGGTCTGGGTCTGGGTCTGAGCCAAAGTCCAGCCGTATTTATATGTGTTTCCATTGGGCTCGTTTAAGAAATCAGGGAATCGAGTGTGTCGCGTCAGTTTTAATTGCTGCGGGATGAGTCCGCGCAGCCACAGCCTCTGGCATTCCAAATGGGTCGAATTTTAATTTGTTTAAATGAAATACTCATTTAGGGCTTATTGACAAACAAATTGAATTGATTGATCTAAATGAATTTATATGGTGAGCAGTGCCCAAGCCACTCAGATTGCCTCCAGAGATGGGATGAGATGAAATGGGTGGATGGGTGGTTTGGTTTAGTCTTCTGCGCATTTGACCCGCTGTTAGTCTGTCTATATGGGAGTTCACTTGAGGGCAGATTTTCCATGTTAGGCTCGCCGAGCGTGGCGAGCTTTGATCCAGTAAATTGAGAGCGTGAAACGAGCTAGGAGACGGGCACTCTTCAGACCAAATTTGGTCCTCTGCAGAAGGATGCTCCCTTGGAGCTGCACTCACTGCAGATCTTTGCTGGCCAGTGTGTGTGCGTTTGGCTTGGAGAGGCATGAGCTCCACATTATTTGAACTTAATTACACAGCCGCAGTCGAACCGAGACCGAAGTTAAAGCTGAAGTCAAAGTCGGCGCCCCGTTAAATCGTTTCCACTACACATACCAATCGCCGCATAGAAACGGCGGGAACATAAAAATGTTTGCACTTCGTATTTGTCGCGCATAAAATCTAATATCGAATTACAAGGCCCGGTCTTTGGTGAGGAGTTCGCAGCTGTGTGCGTGTCAGTGAAACTTTGTGGCAGGCTCCAGTGTCCGCCAACCCCATCTACCCACCTAACCACCTCCCCACATCCACATCCCGCTGCCATAAAGAAACTGAATTGAGTTAAATGCGCGATAAATTGCTTTTTGCATTTATCATGGTCGCCCTGGCAGGCGGCAGTCCAAGTTTTCGCTGGAGCCAGGCCAAGCCTAGAGACCATGAAGATGGTGTGGCGACTCTGTGGACTCCACCCAGACTCCTCTGCCCTCTCCCTCTCTCACTCTCTACGGCTGTGGCGAATATTGAACAAGATTTTTAATTAGTCGCCAAAAAGAAGAAGAAAAAGGGGGAAAAGCCAAGAACCCAAGACTTCGAGGAATTTAGTCAAGTTCAGGCCAATCATGGTTTATTTATGCTCTGCAGGAAGGTATTTATTGGGCCAGATCCTGGTTGATCACCTGGCTGATGTAGGCCAAAAAACTGGACACTCGCGTGTAGACATCTGGTCTGCCCGAGGCACAGGTGGACGAGCCATAGGAGACAATGCCAACCAATTGTGGCTGCGGGCCGGGCTTAATCAGGGGGCCACCAGAGTCACCCTGAAATTGAGAAATTATATTTTATATTATTTAGGACGTTAATAATTTCTAAGTTACCCAAAAAAACGATAATTAAACTGCAATTTAAAGACCGCAATTCGTACTTACCACACATGCTCCTTGACCTTGTACAGCCAGGGCGCAGATCTCATTCTTGGTTACTCGGAATCCTTTCTGGTTGCACTCCTCATTCGAAATGGTGCGATAGTTCAGTGCCTGCAGTTGATCCGGCAGAGTAGCCGAGGAAGTGGATGGACTGGTTGATCCCCAGCCAGTAAGACGAACAGGAACCTTTTCCCCAATGCGATCAGAGCCTCCAATCAGGATGGGACTGATGTTAGCTCGCTCCAGACGAAACGGAGGAGTTACCTTCACCAAGGCGATGTCGTTGATGATCCTAGGATTCATTGAGTACTGCGGGTGGACATGTTTGGTCACCACTCGATGACGTAATCCACCTGCCTTCCAGTTGAGTGTCCCGACGACCACACTAACGTCCTCCACCTTCATCTTCTCCATACAGTGTGCCGCCGTTAGGACATGCTGGCCACTTACAATAGAACCTCCACAGAAATGCTGCCAGCGACCACGTCGTTGCATTTGCAGGGACACCTGGAAGGGCACCGTCTCGTTTACCAGCTGTCCACCATTGATCCTGGCTGGTGGTTCGGTTGTCGGAGTCACCACATCAGCTAATCCTTGCCGGAGGATCAGGAAAATGCAGAATAAATTTGAGGATTGTCATTTTTGATACTGTTGGGTGAGTGAATGGAATGCCACTGCAAGCCATGCATTTTATACATCTCCAGCAGTCTTATCATTTATTTGGCGATGCAAACATGTAAATTCTTGTGATCTTGAAATAATGTAATGTGGGTGGAATTGGGGTAACCTTCGTCAAGTATCTTCTATAAATAACAGTATTGGTTTTATGTACACTTGGAAAAAGAAGTTAACTTTCTCATCATAACCATGTGATCAGAAATAAGTATTCATAGCATAAAAATGTATCTAAATAACTTTTATCATTGTTAAAATATTATAAATTAGGATCTTCTATTGTGATATTGATATATCCTTATATAAACATTTTTTTATAATAAATTTTGAACATTCCATCTCAAACAGTAGTTACTTAGGATCTCCTGCTGCTCCGCTCCTTGCTGTTCATTTGTCGCCTTGCGTGCCTGGTTATCATAAGCTAGCTGGGATGCGATCCTCCGATCCCATCATAAGACTGGACTTGACAGAAGCGCCTACCTGTTGTCATCAATTAGGTAACACGCTCACGCGACCGATAAATATTAAGCCAGCTCTAGCTTTGGTTGCCGTATTGGTATCTGTTTATCTGGGCAAACGCGCAGCCGTATCTGAACGCTGCTCCGTGGCATGATCTCCTTATCTGATTTGCAAATAAAAATCTGTTTAATTTGCCCAATGCTCGGGCACACTGGCAGCCAATGCCAGATCGCTGCATGTGTTGGGAGTCCAGAGTCATAATTTATAAGACCAGTGGAGGGGGCGACTTGGATTTGGATTCGGATCGCGGAGACTGAGGTGCACTTCGCTGCTGGTGCTATCCTGAGCAAATTAAGTACTAAAATAAACGACCAATTTACTGATTATGCAAAACACGCAATTAATTTTCCACTTGCAAACGAGTGCGGAAAATTAATTGCCTGCGAAGCGGAAAACTCATTCGGCTAACCAGGCTGATCCCGTTTGTTTATGCTGGCATCGGTCATAATCATTTGCATACGGGTCGAACCAGAGGAATGTTTTCTGGTGTAGCCCACCTGTTCTGGTTGATGCTCTTGATTGACCCTCCAATCGACATGGTTAGCAAAACCTTTCCCAAGTTGCTACTGGATTTTAAAACCTGGTGTATATAAAATGCCACATCTCCCACTCCCAGACAGATCATAAAACCAGCGGCTCTGCTTTATGAAGTCAGTCAATAAATCAAGCTGAAGACGTTGGCGGCAAAGAGACAAACAAGAAAACAGATCCCGAAAACAAAAAGCCCATAAAAATTGCACCGAGAATGAATGCTCACTTCGGTTGTCTGCCTGCTCTTCTTCTGGGCCACACGCACAATTCCACTGAAGTTGGCTGGCGAACAAGGCCAAGATCGAGGGCAACGGCGGGGCAGGCAATCAAACAAAATGTCATAATAATGATGGCGTCCCGTCGGAGCGGACAGGCAGGATGCTTATCTTGTTAACACCGAACCGATCCGCAGGCCCTTGGAAAGGAGGATATGGTTTGCTGATGAAATGATTAAAGTGCATTTTATTAGTGGGAATTTCGAATCGCATCGTCTGTGGAATCGCAAAGTTCTTTTTGTTTAGTTTTTAATTCGCATTGAAGCGAGAACTTCTTTTAAAAGCAGTTACCTGTTATATTCAGTAGTTGATAAAGCAAAAAATACATTTAAGTTTTGAAAGAGTTGAAAGAAAGTCTTCTTAAAAAGCTCTTCCCTTATATGATGATGATTTCCTTTTACCAATCTTATTTTACGTTTTATATATTTTCCTCTGCGCACCTTTCCTGATTAAATTTCCCTTGCTAGAACAAAGCTTAATGAGTTAACACAAGGATTAACCCGTCAACCTGACTAGAAGTCGAAGGCGCACCAAGCTCACATGCAAATTAGAGGCAGGAATTAAGCATAAAGTCTGCAGATAAGTCATGCCTTGACAGGGTGGTCCAATTAACAAACGGCGGCAGGAGGCAACACGACAGACGCCAGAGTTGGATTCAGATCCCCAGACACATCCTGTGGATGGGGATACTCGCTGGCGATATAATAAAGCCATTTCGGGTTCAAATCGGTTCGCTGGCTGGCAACTTCGTGGCGCTGCATCGTTGCCCAGGACAATTAACACAGAAGTCCAAAGATCAAGACCTCAAACAGCAGCCAGGATGGAAATGGTGAAAAAGGAGAATGTGGAGGAGCTAGCGGAGGAGTGACCACGAAACCAAGAGGTGTGCATAATTAATTCGCGCCAGTGCGCCACACACACAGCTGAAGCTGTTCCATCCAGATCCAGCTACACCCAAAATGATTCATTAGCTGGATGCAATCAGGCCCGGAACTGACACATCTGACTCCGAATGTGGACCAGATAGCACTTTCGGAGCCCGCCCATGGGATGGAAGAAGGAATGAAATTGAGGCAGAACTTGCGATGCGATGGAGCCTGATTTGCATCGAACATGTGGATGGCCTGGAGCTCCTGTCTTCTGCAACTGAAACCGAGACTGCCTCCGAGGTGTCCGAGGTGCTGATTGCCAGCGGCAGGTCTCCTTGTCTCCTCCTTGTCCGCACAATGAATTAAAAGAAATGTCCGCTGCCGTTGCAGTGGCTTGTTTAATCGGAATATTTAAATTATTCGCTGATTAAAACTCTCAGGCAGATCGCTCTGAAAGGAGTTTGGCAGTGGTTGGAAGTCTGGTTGTTGGTCTGATTCTGATTCTTGAACTGACTCTGTTCTACTTTTGCGTAGGTGTTATTCCCTGGAATCGAGGAAGCTCGCTCATCGCCTATCTCCTAGTCTGTCTATAGGTCTTTAGTCCCAGTTAAATGACGTATGAGTTTTTTATTACTTCTTTGATTGAGCAAACAAATCTTAGTTGGCTTAAGCCACAACCCTACTATGTAGTTTCCCCTTGCCAACTGTCGCTTCCTATAGTCTAGACCACTGCTATCGCTGCCCAGCGACCTTGTAACCCATTACATGAGGTGGGACGACCGCCCACAGCTCCATTCGATAAAATTCAAATGAATCGAGCAGAAGGAAAAACCCCAATTAATTGGAGCTTCGCCATGCCTATATAAACCTCGGATGCATTTCTAGTTTCAAGCTCAGTCCTCAGTCATGAACGGAGTAACTTATTTTGTGCTGTTTGTGGCAGCTTTGTCAGCTCTGGATGTCGTCCAGGGTAAGCCCATGGGCAATGTCATCGATTGTAAGTTTAATTTATAACTTAAACGTAAACAATGATTTATAACAAAGTATACGATCTTCTCCAGTGGAAAAGTATTTCGAGGAAGCAGACACCAATTCCCACGAGCGTGTGGTTGGCGGCTACGATGTTCCACAGGATGAGTATGTTCCCTACCAGGTGTCAATGCAGTTCCTTACTCGCAGTGGAAAGCAAAGACACTTTTGTGGAGGATCCCTAATTGCCCCAAATCGCGTTCTCACAGCTGCCCACTGCGTAAATGGCCAGAATGCCAGTAAAATTAGCGTCGTAGCCGGGATTAGAGATCTGAACGATAGTTCAGGCTTCCGCTCTCAGGTGCAATCCTATGAGATGAACGCGAACTACCAGGAACTGGTGACCAGTGACATTGCCATCCTCAAGATCGATCCACCCTTCGAGCTGGACGACAAGCGAGTGTCCACTATTGATGTTAGTGGTTCGGATTTGGTGGGAGCCGATCAGGAGGTTCTCCTCACAGGATGGGGTTCTGTCTTTCACTTTGGCACAGGTCCTTTTGCCAAATATCCCACTGTGCTGCAAAAACTTGACTATAAGACCCTTAGTAACTCCAAGTGCAAGGAGACGATGACCCAACTGACTGACACTGAGATCTGTGCCTTGGAGAGATTTGGCAAGGGAGCTTGTAATGTAAGTAAGATTTTACTTTACGTCTTCTGTTTTAATGTCTTTTTATCACTCCTAGGGCGATTCTGGTGGTCCTCTGGTTATGAAGAGTGGTGAATCCTATAAACAGGTGGGTGTCGTCTCTTATGGCACTGCTTTTTGTGCCTCCAATAGCCCTGATGTCTACACCCGAGTGTCCATGTTTGATGGTTGGATAAAGGAGAGAATGGCTTAAGGTTTTGTCAAGTCTATTTTGTCAATCAATTGAAGATGATCATTTGGATAAATTAATAATTTAATAAAAAGGTTTATCTTTCTATCAATCCTGAATACAGTTCATATTCAATTGTTGCTAACTTATTGGTATTTTTGAATTGCTCGTTAACAAACTTCCTTGTTAAAGAACTACATTTACATTGAGCCCTCCGCATTCGCAATTAGATATTTGCAAACAATGTTACTAGGTTACATTACCTGCAGAACTGCTCATTATAATTTCAATTTCAAGATCAAATTTAATGGCATAAGCAAGTATCCAAAGTGGCCCAGATATATGCGATACATATGCAAATTCCCTCTCTAATGAGGGCCAAACTTTTGTTTAAGTAGCGTGGCAGATGCAAAGCCAGTGGCACAAACAAACCAACGATGGGTCTAACTGAGCTGCTTGTGATCGGAGTTATAACTATTGGAGGAGTGTTTGGAAGGCTGAACTGTAAGGTTGCCACCAGATTAATTTATATTCACTTGGTTATATAATGTTATACTCCCATAGCCCGTCAGCCCAGTGGTTATACACCTCATCGAATTGTAGGCGGAGCTGATGTCCCGGCGGGAGAACACGTACCCTATCAGGTTTCCCTGCAGTACAAAACCCGCGGAGGTCAGATGCACTTCTGCGGTGGTTCCATCATTGGCCCCAGTCATATCCTGACAGCAGCTCATTGTTGCCAAGGCTTAAATGCAAGTCGGATGTCTGTGGTGGCAGGAATTCGTGGTCTGAACGAGAAGGGCTCCCGCTCTCAGGTGCTTTCCTACAGTATCCATCCCAAGTACCAAGAACTGGTGACCAGTGATCTTGCCGTGTTGTCCATTGATCCTCCTCTGAAATTGAACAACTCCACCATCACCGCCATTGAGTATCGATCTAAGAAAAAGGATTTCGTGGGTGGTGGAGTTCCTGTGACTCTCACAGGTTGGGGACTTCGTTTACCAGTACCCTTCCCATTCCTGGAAGAGGTTAACTATCCAAATGTACTCCAAACGGATGAGCTACCACACGATATCTAACAAGGAGTGCAGAGATGCTGGCATGGAGAGTGTCACGGACACAGAGATCTGCGCCAGAGGACCTTTCAGGGGAGCCTGCTCGGTAAGTTTGGCAATATTTAAGATGTTTTTAAATATTATAGTCAATATGTACCATCTATATTTTTATTTCCAGGGCGACTCTGGGGGACCTCTAGTTATGCAAACGGAAAATGGACCGAAACAAGTGGGAATCGTATCTTATGGTCTGGTTGTGTGTGGTCTATACATCTCTCCGGATGTCTACACCCGGGTGTCCACATTCAGTGGATGGATAGGAAAGCAACTGGAGTCGTAAACGGAAAAGGTTTCCATCCAACCCCTTTAAATTTATTCACTTGCAAGCAAAATAAATTTAACTACTAAGGTAAAACTAATATAGTTTGTCATCTACTCGGCAGCTGCTTCGGCGGGAGCTTCCTCAGCGGGTGGAGCAGCCTCCTCCGCAGGTGGTGGTGCTGCTTCTTCAGCGGGAGCTGGTGCAGCCTCTTCTGCAGGAGGTGGTGCAGTCTCTTCTGCGGGAGGTGGTGCAGCCTCTTCTGCGGGAGGTGGTGCAGCCTCTTCAGCGGCTGGTGGTGCAGCCTCTTCTGCAGGTGGTTGTGTAGCTTCCTCGCCAGCGGCAGGCTCAGGTGCCACTTTCCCTTCCTCTGGTGGAGGAGCTTCACCATCCTGACCTTCCGCCAAATCCGTGGCGGATGCGCGAGCCGTGCCAGGAGCTGTTCCAGGGGCTGTACCAGCAGCAGTTGCCGGAGCAGTGGGCACTCCTGTTGATGGGCCAGTTATTTCACCATAGCCACTCTTAGATGTGTCAGGAGAGGTGGAGACGGCAGTAGGTTCTGTTCCATCCGTCGGTTCCGCACAAGGATCTGTGATTGGCTTGGTGGCAACACGCTAGAAAAAATATCAAATTTTAGACGTTAAAAATGAAATAAAAAATTTAAAAAAATATATAGCAATTGAAACTAAGGAGCGGGTGAAGAATTACGGCTGCTTTAACTTACCAGCATGACCCTGCGGAAGAACCTCTGGATAATGCTCGCTGCATGTTGCCGGCGCTTCTCCTCCTCGTCGTCTTTCTTCTCCTAGTGATGTCAAAAAAGTAACTTCGAAGGGAATCAGTATAAATATCAATCCACTTACAGACGCGCAGACACAGACGCAGACTTCCTGTGGGAACTGGAGACGGACCCAATATCCACGCCAAGCACTCTGAATTTTGATGGCCGCCTCTTCGCGCATTGCCTCATTAATCCTCTTTAGCTCTCTGTCTCGGAAGTACTGGTAAAGCAGCTCGGTTCCATCGGCTCCGCGCTCCGCAGACATATAGGCCTCCACGAAGCGCTTGTAGGCCGATTCGATGGCTGGACGTGACATGGCCAGCTCCTCGTCGCTAAACTTACACTTCACCAGCAGCTCCTCCAGGATGTCGACGTCCTCAAAGTTTATCGTCTGCTTTCCACGTCGCATCTCACAGCGTCGTTTCTCCAGGAAGTTACGGAAACAGTCCTCCAGAACCTGGGCCATCATCTCAGACTTCTCCTTGGTGAGATCGCATACACAGAGGTCCGATATTATACTGTCCACCTGTCGAAGAGCCCTGTCTAGAATGGTCTTGGCCACTAGACAAGTAAATATGTATCAGTAATGGTAAACGAAACCCTAAAATGTTTAAGAATTCAAATCTCACCCATTGCCTTCTCCCTGGTCACGATCACCGAGTGAAGGTAGTCTATGATGAACTGGCAGAGACACTCCTTCGTCGGCTGACATCTTAGGACCTCGCGTGTTATATCGGAAAGAAGTTCCGGCAGACCTTCTGGAACATTTATCGCCTGTTGGCGCACCTTTCCGCGTTGAATCAGGTAATTCATCTTGATTTATCAGAAATATAATGCAAAAATTCTATAATTTTGAATCGTAAGCAACTTGGCTGGCAGGAATATGAGAGCTGTGAAATGTTTTTGTTTATTAATATTTAAAAACATCGACGTTTTTATATAGGTTACTACAATGAGAATAAGTCGAATAATATTTAATAATATTTTAATTTTTTATTCTTTCTTAAAAAAAAGAAGTACAATATATAATATTCGAATAGTAATTTTCTTCTAATTTGAGTTAAAAGCGCCTTATATTGCTTTCTACACGGAGAGACTGTGCACTACATTGCTAATGTAAAATTGGTTAGCTTTACGTACTTCCGCTAGGTGGCGGTCATACGGGCTTAAAGTCAAACAAACAATTTAATATTAAAAGTAAAAATAATATAAATAAATTCCAATTTTAATACAGACACAGATACATATAAAATAAACACAAAATTAACATAAACAATTATGTTCAAATTTCGTTCAGTCAGTTAGTTATGTTTGCACTAACACTAATACCACTGCTAAGGAGCTCAAAATGAAATCTTACTTCCGGTCGCTCCTCATTATTCCTTCATATCTTTATTAAAAATTTGTTTTTACAAAGATTTTCCATAGTAGATAATCCCGTCCTCGTCCACACGTGTCTCTAAAAATTCAACAAAGTCCGCCATTACTTTGTAAAATGTAAAAGGCAACAATTTTAAAATGAACTTGTATTTTGTATATGAAAAATGCTAGAACTTTGTACTTCTCAGCGAAAGTGGGTGTGTATCGGTAATTAGCATTTCCTGATTTAGTATTCAGCCGATATAGGAAATCAACAAGGTTCTTGCTGGATTCTCATTTTCAGAAACCATTGAACCGATTTCCATTCCTTTCCTTTTCAGCTGAACCTTAACACAGCCACTGGTAATTTCACAAAGATAGCTTCAAAGCAAAAACTTTCGATTATGGAAGGTAGGCAATATATATATATAGTTGAAATACTATATATAAATAGCAGTGGCTTAGGTAGAGGGGATTACATTTTTTTAAGAAATAAGTTTGGAAATGTATTTATTTCAAAATCAAAAATACATTTCAATTAAGATCCAAAATATCTAATGGGTCCCCTTAGCTCATGAGTAGACGCCACTGCCTTGCTATTCGCCATGCGAAAGCTGCATATAAAAGCTGTTTTCCTCGGGCCTCTGTCGATCGGCTCGTTGACGAAAGCGAAAACAGCGGCGAAAGCTCCGACAACCGCGATCGCAGCTGTCACTACGGGCTTGGGATCAGTTGGACGACGGAATGCAGCAGCTGATCAGAGTGGCGCGGACGTTGGGTGAGGAAATGGTTGGGTGATTCACAATTACCTGGATGATCGATGTGCCGATTTCCCATTCTTAGGTCAACGACCGAGCGGCGCATGGAGTGTGCGGAGTATGGCAGCCGGAGACCGTCGAATCGCCTGCCTAGCCGCGCTCTCTGAGACCCACCAAATTCTACAGAAGACTTGCCGGGAGTTCGCCAATGCGGAACTGGCCCCTAAGGCCCGGCACCACGACCGGGAGGAGCTCTATCCTGCGGAACAGGTCCGACGGTTGGGGGAACTTGGTTTGTTGGCAGTGGCTGTAAAGGAAGAGTACGGTCAGTAGTGGATTACATATCTATTAAATATTTATTGATGTTTTGTTAATGACCTTCGCAGGTGGATCCGGACTCGACTACCAGGCCTACGCGATTGGCATGGAGGAGGTGGCTCGCGGTGATGCAGCCGTATCTATTGTAATGGGAGTAAATAATCTGTACCTCGGTGCAGTGCAGCAGCACGGAACAGAGCAGCAGAAGCAGGATTTTCTGGTACCGTACACCCAGGGAAAGCACATAGCCTTCTATGCATTATCTGAGCCAGGAAACGGTTCAGATGCTGGAGCGGCAAGCACAACGGCGAAGTTGGATGGGGATAACTACATACTGAACGGTACTAAGGCATGGATATCCAATTCCAAGGAAGCCAGCGGTGGAATCATTTTCGCCACGGTGGATAAGGCTCTGAAGCACAAGGGGATCACTGCCTTCCTCACGCCCAAGGATGTTTCAGGACTTTCCATAGCCAAGAAAGAGAGTAAGATGGGCATGCGGGCCACTTCGACTTGCCAGCTGGTTCTGGAGGATGTCCCTGTGCCGCGATCTCGCGTCCTTGGAGCTCCAGGCGATGGTTTTAAGATAGCCATGCAGTCCCTGGACTGTGGAAGAATAGGAATCGCTGCCCAGGCCACGGGCATTGCACAAGCTGCTCTGGAACTAGCTGTTGATTATGCGCAGAAGAGGGTGGCCTTCGGGAAGCAACTGGCTCGGATGCAGCTCATCCAGCAGAAGCTAGCCGACATGGCCACTAGGGTTGAGACCTCTAGGCTTCTCACGTGGCGCGCTGCCTGGCTGAAGGACAATGGATTGCCCATCACCAAAGAGGCGGCCATGGCAAAGTTGCACGCCTCTGAGGCCGCCACCTTCTGTTCCCACCAGTGCATCCAAATCTTGGGTGGAATGGGTTACACAACGGATCTGCCTGCGGAGCTGTACTACCGCAACGCCCGCGTCACTGAGATTTACGAGGGAACCTCGGAGATCCAAAGGATAGTCGTGGCCAATGCTGTTCTCCGGGAATTTGGCGGGGAGTGATATTATTGTTTTTCTAAGTTATTGTTGGCATACATATCAGAATTCTTGCATTTATTCTCATATAAGAAAAACTTGTTAAGTTGCTTAATTAGAATTATAAAATGTTTTTAATATCTTATGATCGTCAGATGGTTTAAATGAAATTGTTTAATTTTTTTATATTAAAAAATTTGTCTTTTAGCTTTTTTTGTGTTTAAATTCATAAAGCCTGTTATTGCTCTATTTAAAAAGCAACTGTTGGTAATTTCCAGTGTTCAGCAACAGTTCAAATTTAACATTCTGCTTAACAGTTGGGGAGTGACCATAATCGATAGCTGAAAGAACCAATCGATGCATCGTTTGGAATAACATCGATAGTTTTGTGTTCCACCTCTATTGTTATTGTTTTTTTGATTAAAATAAAATCATTTTTCTCGCATAAATGACGGCCAATTTGTTGAACCTGAATGTGGACACGCTGTTTGAGCAGCACAGCGTGTCCGAGATCGACGCGGTGCACAAGAAGATCCAGTCGGTGGTGGAGAACAAGCGCGAAGAGCTGCGCACCCATGTCGGGTAAGTGATGTGGCACCTTTGGGAGATGAAATCTCTGGTTAAAAATATTTTTCAATCCTTAAGCGAGCGGTACCGGGATCTTCTCCAAGCGGCGGACACAATCGCGGCTATGCAGGCGTCGGCGGGCACGCTTATGGAGCAAGTCCGACACGTACAGGCCAACTGCCGCAGTCTTAATGAGCAGCAGCTCCTGGGCTTCCAGACCTCCGCGAATCCGAGTCCCAAGGAGGCGGTTCTGCAGCAAAGAAACGCCGGAAAGAAGCTGCAGACCTACTACGGCACAATGGCACAAATCAAACTGCTCACAGCTCTTCCGGAACTGATCTGGACGCACCTGGACAACGACCGTTTCTATGCCGCAACTGAGCTGTTCATCTTCAGCCGGCATATAAGCACAGGTTTGCAACTAGACGGGCAGAGTGCCCTGATGCAGAAACTTCCGGTGGCCCGCAAGCAGTGGGAGATTCTGCGTCCATTTCACGTCACCATTAAACAGGCCGTGCTGGCCGCTCTTGAGCGGGAGGAACTCCTACCCGAGATGGCCGTAGACTGCCTCCAGAGTCTTCTCCTGCTGGACAAAAGTGAAATTAGTGCTGTGCTGAAAACCTTTTTGGGCCTGCGTTCCTCGGCCTTTCTCAACTGTCTGCAGAGCAGACCGTCGGAACCACGTCGTGTTAAGGAACGCATTCTGGCCAGCTTAACCGTTCTGAACAGTACCGTGGAACTACTGGATAAGTGTTTGCTGGGTAAAGTGTTGTTTTATTAACGTATCCCGTAAAAAAGACACAATAGCAAAGATAGAATCAGGATTATCATGAGGTACTCCCATTGAAATTGGCAACTGGCTGAAGAAGTATCCAAATGCTTACTTTGCTCCAGTGCCCTATAATGCATTATGGTTACCATTGGATATGGACTTGACCATTTGACTCCGCATGCTTCCATCAGAACATCCGTGTAAGTCGAACTATGATGCATACAGGTCACATAGTCCGCTTTTCCCAGAATGACCATCGTGGAATTCTTGTCAATACCGTCAAAACATTGAAATTTGGTGCCATTTGTCGGCGACAAGGTCTGACAGTGACTCATTGCTTTGTTACGAAAGAGGACAACATATGTGCTTGGCTGTTTGTCCAAGAAGTAGATTGAGTAAAAATCGCCAATCTCAATGTGACTGTCGTAGAACTTAGCCTTTAACTTTCCCGTGTACTTGCCTGAGCAAAGAAGCCGCAGGACTCCTTTCACTTCGACTCCGCAGAGTCTAGCTAGTTTCAAAGTCGAGTCAGTCATTTTTTGGCTAAAAAAGAATAAGTAGTTAACCAGAAATTTTAAACATTTAGTTTGAGCCTACTAAGAACTTCAGGGGATCTGTAATGAATTATTTTAATGATTCATCTTTTCTTCCATATAGGTGAAAGTCTTCTCTTTACTCGCCTGGCAGAATGTTCTTCGTCGAGTTGTCCGCCCAGCATCAACCGGATGGAAAGCAGCGAGCGTCAACTTGCAAACCTTTTGCCTGACATCATAGCCGGGTTTTAAACCGCAGTTTGAGGTTCCTCAGTTAACACCTGAGCTACTGGGCTCTTCACTCCAACAGTGGTTAGACAAGATGAACGCCCTAGCAGCGGCTCACTTGCAGCAAGTATTCGCTCTTGTAAGCAATATGCAGACTATCCAGGACATCAAGACGGCAGCAAGGACCAATGGTCGACCGGATTTCGTCCGTCTAGAACAGCAACTTCATTTGAAGCACAGCCAGTTGGACTTCTACGTGCGAAAGTACGTTCCACTGATTAACGCTAGAGTTCGGGAGATCATACGCAGCAGTTGGGCGGCAGCTATGAAGCAGACCTACGAGCAGGTGCTTTTGCTAATCGAAGCTGGACAATCTCAAACGGCGCAACAAATTTGGAAAGAACAGAGCGAAGATCTGCCTTTAAGTTTGGCGGCGGCACTCAGTGATCAACCAAAGCGGTTGGCTAATCGGACTAAGGGCTATGATGGAGCCACCATGGAGTTGTGCAAACGTTTTGACTCAAATCTAGCGGATATCGTCCAGGAGCTCAATGTGATGCTACAAGAGCAGACGACGCGGGCAGAGGACAAACTTTCCCTCATCCAATTCCTGCGCGAGACGGCCGAGGAGCAACTAACAGAGTATCTGACGAATTTGAAGGGTCTACAACTTCGAGAGCGTCCTGCTCTGCTTCTAGCTTTGCGAAATAGTCTGGCTTTGGTAGAACTGTGTCCCAACTTAAAGCTCTGCTTCTGCCAGCCTTCAAGTTGGCGCCAGTATACTGACAACTTAGCAGGAGTCGGGATCGAGCACTGGCAGCGAATTTGCGGCCTGATCGAAGAGGAGATGCTATCTTTCTGGCTGCTCATCGTTGACGATGTGCTTGCCGGGCATAGTTGCGATGATAAGCTACCGAAAGTAATTAACCATGAAGTGGTTCTTAGTGATTTTGCGGTAATTATTTTGAATAGCTTTTCAAATGTGTTTTAAATTATTTTTATTATTTTTTAGTTGTGGCAAACCTTGACTCTGGAACAGCGGGACGAAGAACAAGAGCAAAGTGTCCAATCCACTATTCGCATTCCCAGTCAGCCGCGTCTTTCCCTGCAGACGTATCTCCATCAGTTGATCAATGCATTGAACCTAGCTGTTCCCCAAACTCTGCCACCAAAGGTATTGCAAGCGTTCATCCAGCGGCTTTTAGGAAAACTGCTAAGTCACTACGAAGGATTGGCCCAGGCGGAATGTACCAAATGCAGTCAGAACATCGCCCTGCAGTTGTTCTTCGATCTTAAGTTCCTTGAACGGGTGTTTGCCATCACACGCGAGGAGCGTGCTCTTTACGACCAGATACATTCTCAACAAAACCAACTTCGCGACTGCATAGATCCCTTTGATTTCGAGCTGTTTGCGGAGCACATAACTGCACATGTAGCTAGAGCTGCAATCCGTCTTCAGGGCGAACTGGGAGTGCTGACACCCTCGACAATTGCGGCAAATCAAGGCGCATCGGCAGCCAGCTCTTTGGCCCACGAAGCAGATCCCAATGTTTTGTGTCTTAGCTCATCGGGATCCACATCGCTCTGGTTCCCTCTGCTGCCTATTGTGATGCCCCAGGCTGCTGGAAGAGTTAGTGGCATTGAACGGAAATCCCTCACACAAGAGTCAGCTGATAAAGTGAGTAAAAGGACTTAAGATATACGGGGTTGTAGGTCCTCACTTTAAGCATCTCATTTTGATTTCTTTTCAAAGCATGGGTTACATGAATCTTTAGATACTTATTCCATAATATCTATAGATATACAGCCATAGTATTCCAATATTGAACCACCACTTAAAGAGGAGGACCTCACACCGTTGTTTAAATATTTTTATCATAAAGATACTTTATCGAGTTATAAATGTATGTTCCTACGTTTCTTTCCTAGGATTTCTATCGATTGCAATCCTAAGTCAATAGTTTCAACATTTGCTCTGGTTGGGTAGAAATGGTATTTGATAGTTGATATTTTGTTATCATTCCTCGTTTGCATGCTGCATGATAATAATTGTTTAACCAAAACTTGCTTAGAGTGAGCAAAGTTCGCACACTTTGCTCTTATTAGATGCTTCATTTCCGAATTCGGAAACCTCTTCAAACTGAAGCAGCAGTTTAATTAAACTAATTTGGTCCATCCAGTAATAAATAAACCAGAATGCCGCAAGACAAATTTTAATTAGGTGCAACTTTCCGCCACCCCACTCCCGCTCCTGCTCCTTAACCGCCCATCTCCACTTCGCCCACAAGTGCTTGGCAAAAGTTTCGCTTGAAACCGAAACCGAAATTTCCAAGTGGATGGAGAATATCAGAATATCAGCAGAATGATTGTGTATATATTGTAGACGCGTGTGCGAGTGCGAGTGCCTTAGATGCTAATTAATGAATCGCTGCAATTATTGAAATCAAATCGCTGGGCAAATGTTAATTTATGGCCATGGCTACTTGGCCGTTACTCGCATGTTTTGTAATTAGCTGCGATCTCCGACGGTATAAATCGTTCTCTAATTATGTCTGCTTTCTGTTCTGCTGTTTGTTGCTCACCATAAATCTGAGAGTCCAACCGCAAATTAACAGATTAATCAGACAAACTACCAATTAATAGTCCTAATTAATTAATAACATTTCTCTTTATCCCTCTATCTCTGCTTTCACCCTTAGACGGCGACGGCGACAACGACTCCGACCAGGAAGACGGGGGGCAATGGAGCTCGCAAGGGAGACACTAGCAAATCCAAATCGAGCGCTGCTTCCTTCTTCGGGATGTCGCAGGAATGGTTCCGCTAGGGGATTCAGATCAAGTGGCCTGTGAAGTGCATCCAACTGGAATACGGATGGGATGCTACCTCCATTGTTAAGCCGAGCATTCAAAATGTTTAACCTGTGTCCAAAGTATATTTGTAGAAGAGGCGGCCTCCGCCAAATAATTTTAAGAGATTCGCATACATTATAGATACATATATTATGATATCACTTTTAATTTCAACTTAACTCTAAATTTGTAATTTTTAATGCGCTTTGATGTTGCTACCGTTGTTATTTCTTGCCTCCTTTCTTGCCGCCGCCTGCGGCTGCCTTTTGGTCCTGTCCTTTCTTGGCTCCACCTTTGTCAGCACCGCCTCCATCGCCTCCTTTGTTTTTATTTCCGGATCCACCTCCGCCTCCACCGCCACCGCCCTTTTTCTGTGGGCAAAGAAACACGGAAAGATTTCTCTTTGAGTTGGGACTGTGCAAATAACGAGCCACGGTTATTTAAAGTTGCGGAGCAAAGTCAGTAAATGAGAAAAAGGTTAGTTGGGCCAGCATTGCAATGAGGGAGGACCTGCTACCAAAGGGTTAGAAGTTCTTTAATTACATTCAAAATAAATTATTATTTCCATCATCCGTGTTATAATAATGTAATTATATTTCAGCTAATTTTTCCGACAAAATAGTTTATTAAAATAAAAATAGTAAGAACCAAATGTATGTAGGCAATAATTTAAATTTTGTTTTGATTGCTAAAATAAATTAATAACTATTGAAAGTTTAATTAAATGGTTGTATATATACTAACATTGAGTAGAAACACTTAAAATATTGTGAATATATTTCCGCTCCGCTTAAATTTATGAACTTTTTAAATAGCAACTAAGTTTACTTTGAATTTTCTGCATTAACTCTGTCGGGAGTGAGGCAAACTGAATAAGCACTTAGATGAAGATTATAAGTAGTTAGACTCACAATTAGTACGCAAGTTGCATAACACAAATATTGCTTACATTGCCGCCACCGCCTCCTCCACCACCACCACCTCCTCCGCCTCCACCACCGCCGCCTCCGCCTCCTTTATTTTTACCCATCCTATCAACTTCTCAGGACAGCAATTATTAAATTTATTTGGTTTATTTTGTGTGGCTTGCTGTTGGTTTTCGGCTAGAGCAAACTTTGGCCCCAGCTGGCAAATTGCAACTAATAAGCATCGCCATTGCCGCAAAGCGAAATGCATGAAATTAAATCATTTGGCCAGGAAAAGAAGGCCAAAATAAACGTTGAGAGCAAAACACAAAATGCGCAACAGCCAAAGGCGGCGAGCGGAAGGGAAAGGCGCCAATGTTTTCTGGGGAGATCATGAAGGGTTGCGGTGGCCAGGGGGATTTGGCCCCGGGTATAGCAAAGCTGGCTGCAATGGCCAATGGCTCTTAACTGATTTAATCATTACCTGGCACCTCTCTCTCTCCCTGTGGCCGGAAGGAATGGAAAGTGTTTCTCTCGCGGCGACTGTTGGATTATTTTGTAGTGCTTCCCCTCCTCTTTTCGACACTTCTGTTCCGATTCGTTTCGGTTTCTACATTTGCATTTGGCCATTTCCGCCCATGGCCATGGCATTGACATTGGCCACCTCCGCCTCTCGCGTTTCTGGTTCTGTGGCCAATGGAAGGCAATACGTCGGTAATCCCACGGCTCAGTCGAGTAGCCCACGGATACGAGCAGTGCAACAAGACGGTATTTATAGATGCAACGAGAGTCGAGGAATATAGTCGAGGCTAAGAGAGATTTTGGGGGATTTCAATGGGAAAGAAATGGCCAAAAGGGCGATTGAAAACGTTAAGATATGCGAAGAGAGGTAAAAGAGTGAATAAGGCAAAAATGGTTCAATTACGTAGATAAGCCGGGGGATAACAGAAAAGATTGTTCCGTTTAATAGAAAAGTTAAAGGAATTGAAATGTTAAGTATAGCCATTCTCATCCTTATGTCCATATATCGCTATCCGAATCTATATTATGAATTTGTTGTGATATTTTTGAATTAATTATATTTCCATATGCTTCCGTCTATCCTGTAATTCGATATAAAAAACCTTTAAGATGTGAGAAAGTCAATATATTTGAAAATGCCTTTTTTGTAAAAACAAACTAAAAGCTAAATAAATGTAATTTTCTTAATGCGAACAACTTTTCTTTAATTACCAGACCAGTTGACCAGGGGGAAGCCTAATTGGAACGGAATACATTTAACAGCTTTCCACCTGCCTGCCTTCGAAAGAAAGCTGTCCGAGTCTGATTTTCTTCATATGCTAATTAGAGTTATCAAAAAGTTTCTCTGTCGGTGCCACAGGACAGTGGAAACTCAATGCATACATAATGAGTCCCTTTTACCTTTTCTGCAGCTTCTCCTACGATTTTTCCATTTTCTCACCAAACAGATGTTAGAAAACAGACAAGAAAAAAATAGGACAGGACACCCGTCGGTGTCAGCTAATTAAATTAGATGTTTTATATACGTTGAGGCGTAAGTGAAACCGATATCACCCAATGAAAATGAAAGCACCAACTCAAGGAAAACTCAACAAGTCGAAATCTGCACATGGCAACTAGCCTAAAACCAAATTAGAAGTGAAAAGTATGAAATAAGCTCATAAAATTAAGCTCACACATGCTCCGGGAAAAACAATTTGGGGAAGGGGAATGCGGATGACCCGTATCCGGAGGCGAGGCTAACAAAGTCGCAAGTCCGGACATTTGCTGCAGGTGCGGCTGGCAAAACTTGCACCTGAAAGATAAACCCCCTCCGTACCGAAGCGGACGGACACTTTGAATTTAAACGAAATGGGCGGACTTTCTGGGACTGGCTAAATACATACGGAAAAGCGAGAGAGATAGCCGGGATAAGTACGGAGTTGGCTCTGTAAAAGTGCGGAACTTTAATTAAGTTTTGGTTCTCCCAGCTGACTGACATCTTGAATTACAAATGAAAAACTTGTGTGCAGCAGCAATAGCAGCAGCGGCAGCAGAAGGAAAAGCAGCCAAAGGAAACGGGCCAAAAAGAAGCGACACAGAAAAGGGCAAAAAAATAAAATGAAAGAAAAAAAACCGTATAGAAATGTAAGAAAAGTGAGGAAAAACCCAGGAAAAACCAGTGCATAATAACACACTGAACTGCAAGAGGTGGATCTGAAGCAAAAAACAGTTCCTGCAACAGAATGCGAATAAGTTGCACAGCCAGCAATTCACGGAAAGAAAATAAAGAAAAGTACAACCACTGGGCGGGAAACCCAAACAACTACCTTAGCCAGTTAGCCAGTTGGCTAGTTAGCCGCTATAAGAATACCCAACTCACTGGTACCGCGAATCTCTTCCAACTGGCCGGCCCTTAAAGTACGGGTATCCCAAAAATCGAACAAGAGCAGTAGCGACAAAAAAAAAAAAAATAGTTCCATTCATGGCCATCCAACGGAAATTCTTCCGCCAAAAGTCTACCTACGGAATACCCTTAGATAAGCTCGTGCCAATTATCAAATTTTATTTCATCCGATTTCTAGGTAATTCCCTCGCATGATGACGATAGTTTTGGCTTCGGAAAATTAATTCTCTACTTCAAGCCATAGCCTGATAAGATTACCACAAATCAAATCAAAGTGCAGTGTCTGTAATGTCGGGTACATAAGCCACCACAGAAACCTTATCAAAAGCCCATTAAGCCATTACCATTAAGCGCGAACTGCTTGCATCGGCTTAGTTCCCAGGCACTTATTACTTAATTGCCCATATGAACAATAATTAAAAACTACTTAAACTTTAATGAGGAATGTTTTGAATCAGCTTTGATGATCCGATCGGACAAGTATTACCTATTTGGTAAATAAGAGTTAAGATATCACTCTCTCTTCTATATAATGCTTTCTTAATGTTACGAAATAATAAAGATAACATTAATTTGAGATTCCAAAACTTTGTTTATACAAGTACTTTCCTAGGTAGCAACCATTTCTGGATAAGAGCAACCAAAGGTCTGCTGTAAGCGGAACTTCATCCACAACCGAACTTCATCATCGGCAGCCTTGCCACAGAATTTGGTTTTAGTTCACGTGCCACCGGGAACGGAAAGTTGATTTTCTCTGCCGGCTGCCATTGCTGGAAAATCAGGAAACAGATGTTTGCAAATATCTTGCGAGTGAACTTTTTCGCCAAGGTATTTAAATAACGTTTTCGCTGCACCAACTTTTTGTCAGCCGCAACGCAGAGAGGAAAAAAGGGAAAATAAAACCCGAAAAATGTAAAGAAAAGCATTGAAAGCTGTCCAAAAGAAACCCCATTCAATTTCAGTGAATTGGGTAGATTTCGTTTCAGGGAATTTCCTGAATTATCATGGCTCTGTTGAAAGGGATACCATTTTGTATTTATATCGAAAGCCGGCTAAATATACTTTGAAATGGCCCAAGAAAACACTTTCAGTGCGCGTGCCAATATCGATAATCCGCTGAAGACCAATGAAAATGTTGGCCAAAAAAGCTCTAACTTTCCATTACGGTTTTCGTATCACGCATTTAGAAATCATGAGGTATTCCCAGTTTAAAGTCCAAAGTTTATTAGCGCACATTCAGATATATCATAAAAAAACCCCGGGGAATATATTTTAAAGGTTTGTTATTATATTTATCTCTAATATAAAGCTTTCGCTGAAAGGGCTATCATTTATAAATAAAACATATATATAGACTCAACTTTCTTCACGTGCTATCACATTACATAAGCTTTACAGATAAAGGAAAATCCAAAATCCGGAAGACACTCTAGAGAATGAGTCAAAATTTAATAACTCTTATCACCACAGAAGACACCCTTCAATTAAAGAACCCAGCGTTAGCTATCTGATAATATATGCATAAAAGCCACTCTCGTGGTCAACTTTGGTCAATGCCTTTTATCTTTCATTAATACCTTGCACTTAACCTAGGCTATGCTTATCACTGGGAGATAAGCCCCTTGGGGATCCGTGTCTTTATAAGTAGCCCCAACTAGCCAATAGTCCCACAGATAGTGGCCGATCTTCCGGGTGTGCATTCAAACTCTATTACAGCCAAAATGTCCAAGTTACCGTGCAGCTACGATGCGGAGAACAAGATCTGGAAGGGTATTCCGCAAAACAATCCCTTCAAGCCGGATGTTTCTCTGGGTCGGATCATCTTTAAGAACATGAGGAACTGGCCCAAGAACGTGTGCCAGGTGAGTAAATAGGAATTGTTACCCCTCCCAGGACCTCCTAATGGATAATGGCTTCCCAGATTTCCGACACCGAGGGTGTGGAGGTTACCTTCGGACAGGCTCTCACCTGGGCAATTCGCATTGCCCAGCACCTGAAGAGCCGCGGTCTAGACCACAAGGATATCATCGGTATCTCCGCCAGGAACACCACTTATATAATGCCAACGGCCGTGGCCTGTTTCTTCCACGGCACTCCTTTCCAGTCGGCAAACCCGATCCTAGAGGAATGTAAGTCTATCCGAAATATCCTTTAAAATTCCTTTAAAATATTTTTCCTTTCTTATAGCCACACTTAAGCACTTATACACCATCTCCAAGCCAAAGATCATCTTCACCGATGCTGATCATTACGAGAAATTATTCTCCGCTACTAAGGATTTCAAGCCTGAGATTATTCTAACCACCGGATCTAAGGATGGTGTCCTCAGCATTCAGGATCTGCTGCATCCTACCAAGACAGAGTTCTTCTACCAGTGAGTTTAGTTAATGGCATAGTTCTAAGGATCAGGGTATTTATCTCATCATTATTAGGCCAACTCCGCTGAAGGAAGGACCCAAGCAAACCGTCGCGATCCTCACCTCATCGGGAACTACTGGAATGCCCAAGGCTGTGTGCATCTCCAACGATATCCTGACCCAAGAGACAGTGTAAGTACTTTCAATTCTTTAGGCATTTTAAGAAAAAAAGCTGAAAGTGATAACTAACTTATTTGAAAACTAATGATTACTAATTTCTAAATATTATTTTTTTTTTTTATAGCTTTGTCAATGGCTACGATACGATCTACATTTCGGCTAGTCTGGACTGGATCACTGGTCTGTGGGCCACCATCTTCAGCACGGTGAATGGATGCACTAGGATCATCAGCAGCAAGCCTTTCACGGCCGACTACTTTGTTCATTTGGTCAGCAAGTACGGCATTACATATGCCCTGATTCCACCAGAGCACTGCTGTTCCTTGTTGGACTGCCCCACCGCCACGCCGGAGAAGTTGGGCAGCCTGACGAAGCTGAACTTCGGAGGTGGACGTATGACTCAGGCCACAGTAGAAAAAATCAAGAAGCTTGCTCCCAACGGAGTGCTCAACTCCTCCTACGGTATGACCGAGGTTGGCTTCATTGTGTTCAACCATGGACATCTGAAGCTGACGGCTGCTGGCAACCCACTGCCCGGTATTCAGGTTAAGATCGTGGACGACGATGGCAACAAATTGGGAGTTAACCAGACCGGTGAGATCATCGTCCACAACGGTTTTAACTGGAATGGATACTTTGCCGATCCGGTGGCCACCAAGGAGATGCAGGACGAGGAGGGCTGGTTCCACACTGGCGACATGGGTTACTTCGATGAGGATGACTACCTGTACATGACGGACCGCAAGAAGGAGGTGCTCAAGTGGAAGGGTCTGCAGATGTGGCCCGCCGAAGTGGAAGCAGTCATCGATGAGATGCCGGAGGTTAAGCGTGTTTGCGTGATCGGAGTGTACGATGAGACCCAAGGAGATGTTCCCGGAGCTCTGGTTGTTCGGGAAGATAATGCCAACCTGACCGCCCAGCAGGTGATTGACTACGTGGCCAAGCGTCTGCCCGACATCCAGAAGCAGCTGCGAGCCGGTGTCCAGTTCGCGGATGAGATTCCCCAGAACCACAATGGAAAGGCCGTCCGCCGATATGCCCGTGATCTCTTCGTTGCCCTATCCAAGAAGAACTGATAACCGAGAACTGCCCATGCGTTAATTTGGAGTAATTTAGCCTTGATTAAGTTTATTAAGTTAGGGAAACTTTTTGATTTCTGTTTTTTCGTTTTAATTTGCAAAATGCTTCTTGAAAGTGGCCCATAACCTTCGCTACTCAAACCAATGTCGATGTGCACTTATCAAATAAACAAAATGATGAAGTATGAGAATGTTCAATATCTTATAGATAAAAGGTTTGTTCACTTGTTTAAAAGACTGAGTGCTAGGGTATCTAAACTCTTATTCAGCAAAAGGCTTCTATCATTGAACAAATCACTTGTTCAAATCCACCTGCTATCACTTAGGGGTCAAAGACACGTAACAAATCTCTGTGAAATACCCACGGCCCAAATAACATTTCAAAAAACAATTGCCGACAACATTTGATTAACGTTGCCATCCCATCAATTTGGTTATAAAAATATTGTGTGAGTTTGGGCCGGAATTTGGGCCATAACTCAACGGGAATTGTGTCGCTGTTTCTTTATGGCTAAACACTTTCATTGGGTAAACAAAGAATTGCCATTTTGCGTCAAGGGCCATCCGACTCTTGCTCCCCCATCATCGCATCCTCTCCAGGAATAAAAAATCATTTTATTTAGTCATAAAAATCGCACGCATAGAATTGGCCAGGGGAGCAGCATGTGGGAGAATGGGCTAACGGGTGCCAAATCACGGGGGCCGAACAAAAAGAAGCTTTTCACGAAATTAAAGGTAAATAAAATGTTTATGAGTGGAGAGCAAGCGCGCTCATATGATTTCACATTCGATTGAATAACATTTACACACGCAAGCGAGCGCCACACGAAGGATTCGCAATCTGTGCCCGGATCTCAATACTCCGCCTCCCGGATCCATCCGTGGATTCCTTGTATGGCGTAGGGATAGCTGGCACCCAAAGACGGGCAATAAATTCAAACATGTGCACATAAATTTTTATTTCGATTTGCTGAGCCGCTGTCAGTGGCGTCCTTACCCCGCATACCAGCTCCCCCGCTCCCCATTCGGTTTTATGAACTGTGAATATGCGCATGATGAAGTTGCCAAAGGATCTCGGCGGAAGTGAATCGTTCGGCATGCGGTTCACTCAATGTGCGTGTGTGTTTGTGGGCGCCCGTCAAAAGGAGGCGGCTGCAGAAGGAGGAGGTGGTGTTGGCTGGGGCAAACGTCAACGGCATCACAAATTATTGCATCTCCGTGTGCCGGGAATCAGGCGATGGGCAACATGCTCGATTTATTGACACAAAATTGAAGGTGTAACATCTGTTATTTTCACGCTTTGATTACCTTTCTTCTAGAGATGTTAAATATGATTTTATCATCATCTAACTGATATTCGAGTAATATATTTAAAACTACATTTTTAAGTAATTAAGCTTGTTGAATTTAACTTAGCTTTAAATGAAACACTAATCAGAAAAGTCTATTATTACATATACAAAGCACCTTTAGCCATAGACAGTTCATTATGGTTTTGTTGAATATTCTGTTACTTTCACCGTCTTTAGTTATAATAATTTTACCCTTAATATAGACAATATTTTCCACTGTTACAACAAACAAGCAACAAATTCTGTGGAGCAGCGGCACGAGGAGAATTCAAAGCCGTCAGTCAATTGACTTGTGCAAGCGAAGGAACGGAACGGAAACGGCAATGGGATTGGGAGTACTGAAGTCGGCGGCAAACGATCCCCTCGCCTGCATAAGTCAAATATCGAAAATGTCAACTCCTGATTGAAGACCCCCGAAAGCCATGCTGCAGCAGTTCAATCAAGCTTGAAATATGCAGAAATCAGCAAATAGTTTAGGGCGACAGAATAAAAAAAAGATATGCAAAAAATGTCAAATTGACCTTTGCCTCTTGTGAGAATTGAACTCACGGCCCCTGGTTTACAAGACCAGTGCTCTGCCACTGAGCTAAAGAGGCTCACATTTTTCAGGCGGTAAAAAAGTAAATTTAAGCTACCTTCTTGGCTACATTATTGGTTCTTCCAGTGAAGAAAGGTATCTCGCAGAAACAGAAACGAACAATAAACACATGTTTAAACAGTTGTCAACTGATAACTGCTCCAATTTCGATTGACAACGAAAGGTGCGCAAGTATCCATTCATTTGGGCAATCACTCAGCTGCGTTGGCTAATTAAAACTGTGGAGATGCACCCCAATTAGTAGCTGCCCGAGATGCAGTTTTCAATTTCCCAATGCCAACTGTCTGTCTATCGTCTCGTTGTGTCGGTAATTGATAAACTGGCGCACTGAGGCAAATACTCTCGCATTCGCATTCGCATTGGCATTGGCATTCGTGTGCAGCACTCGCTCACTCGAGTCTGTTTATTTGGCAAATTGGCAAATCAATTGCCTGAACCGAATAAGCTGCCACACATCAGCAGCATCATCATCACCTGAGATGTCGCGTTCTATCGAATAGCGCTCTCTCGAAGCACCAGACACCGCAAAAGTAATTGGCGCAATCAATGAAATTAATTGAACGCATCGAAATCTTGTATGATCTTTGCCAAACTCATTTGCGGTGGCATTTTGGGTAGCAAATGCAGATGGGAGTAGAAATATGCAGCCACATGCTAGGCCACTTCCTGTTTAAATATTTGCTGACCCACATAAATTCTTAAAGAAACACTGTGGCTGATGTCACCAATAAAACTGAATCAATATTCAGTCTGCGGGTAGCAGAAAAATCTCTTTAATGTATTGGTATTTACCCATTTAACCTCTGAATTTAAAGTGTATTGTTGCATACTTTTAGACACCCATATAAGTGATTTAAAAATCCTCGTACATATACCACTTCCCGCACACCGCCTCACATTGCCTAACCACTCTCCGTTCAAATATTTAGACATGTGCCCAACTGCCCTGCATTATTCCTTAAAGCACTCACTTAGCCAGGGGTCATAATTCATTCAAGTAGCCCAGCCTTAAGACCGAAGGCAAACACTCTCGAGCGCAAGATCCAGTAAAGGGTGGGGTGAAGGGTGGAGAGCCGTAGAACAATTTCGTTACCAGTCGGAGCCACTTATAAAGTGCAGGAACACGTATACGCACCGTTGCGTCAGTAGAACTCCCCCTTGGGCAGATTATCTGGCAGCAACAGCAGCATACTTAACAACTATTTATCGAGTTTTTCAATATTTTTAATGCCACTTTAAATACTTGACGCGATTATTTTCCACCGATTTTCCTTTGCATACATACAAATACCTATACATATATATAAAAGATTGTATATATATTTAAAACCCTGTTTTTGCCCCTCAACCAGCACTTTTTGATCCCGCGAAAGTAAAGTTTCAAGTGCCAAACACACGCAAACTTTTTGCTCTGTTGCAGCAGCATGCAAGTTTGCTGCCACCGAGAGACATAAAACTTTTATAGAAGTTATTAAAAGTGCGACGAAATGAAGGAGGGGATCGGTCTGCGGAGGGGCAGATCTGGTAGCAGGTTTCAGCGCCAAAGAGTTGAGAGAAAGAAAGAGAGAGAAATGATTCATTTGCCATTCAATAAATCTCCGCTTTACTTTACTACACCAGGCAGCTGGCCGGCAGTTCTTACTTCCGCACACTCAAAAGAAACTCACTGTCAGTTACAGGAGTGTCTTCCAAAAGTACATAATTAAATAATCTAGTTTTTAGTAAAAGTATTTAAAGTGATTAAAGAGTATCAATTAGCGTGATGAGTGAGCATAAGGAATATACGAAGTTCTCGTAAGCTTTAGTATTACATAATCCTACTTTCCAAAATTATTTTATCTGCTTGTTTGTATATTAATTACACTTTACTAACACCCAAAATTTAACTATATTTAATAACTATTTAATTAGTTTTAAATTTTTCTTTAAGTTCATTCTCGGATTTCGCGTTGCTGCATCGGACGGACGCTTTAAGTAATGACCATCAACGGCTGGACGCCGACGGCGCCAGTTTGTACATTGTTATCTGCTAAGGACTGCGGGATTATACGCCGAGTCCAAGGTGCAAGGCCCAACCCCATACCAAACTGCATGTACCCCGCCGAACCCTTCACCCCTCCCATCCCGTTCATTATTCAAACGCATTAACAGAAGTTGTCCGGCTGCAGCAGGACAATTTTCGTGATATCCTTGACTTGGCATAACTTTGTCGGAGGTGCCCAGGGCTGGTCTGTTCCTCCTGTTCCTGCTGTTTTACTCCGCCGGCTCCTGCTCGTGCTCCTCCTCTTGGCCCTAGTACTGCGAAAAGTTTCCCTGCTGCACTCGAACAATAACAGAGCCAAGTATTTAAATGCAAATTAGCCCCAAATGATGCAATCATAATGCAAGTGGCTCCAGGACCAGACCATACCAGACCAGACCCAAAGGCTCGTGGGAAAGAAAGAAGGAAGTGATGGGGATAAAACGGTTAGGAGACTGGGTTCCTGTACTGGGTTCGCTTTTAATTTCCACTTGCCTGGGCTCATTTAGCACAATTTGGCAGCCACTCATAATTTCCACTTCTTTTTCTTGCGCTCAAATTAATTTCCACCTCTATTTTTATGTTATCCTTGCAGCAATCCTTGCTTTTATACTGCTGCCCACTTGCAAAACGGAGTTTGGCTGAAGCTCGTTATGGCTACGGAAGATAAATGCATTTCAACACATGTTGTTGAAAGTTAATTTCCGAAAAACGTTGCTCATTTATTGTTAAATGTGCATTTAGTTTTCTTCCGTCGCTTTGCCTCCTAGTATTCTTTTTTTGTTACGCTTCGACTGTGGTAATGCCTTTTTGATGGTTGGATTTGGATCCAGGCATTTCTTGCCTGATGCAGTTTAAATGAGCTGAGAGCTCGAGCTGGTCAAGCCTTTGAAGTGGCCCAGTCCGGAATTATTCAAATGCTCTCTCGCCATCGCATTCGCATTCCCACGAAATTGCCAGAGTTCAAATCTTTAGCCCACAGCTAACTATTTCCAGCTGGTGCAAAAATGGCCAAAACTTGGCAATCGAATAGCCGACTCGGCCACAAACACAATCAGCCAGCTCCCGAAATGAGCAACTTGAGAATTGAACTCGATGCCAGAACAAAAGAACACACACACAGTCCGGACAATCCGGACAATCCGGGTGGGAAGGAGAAACTTTTGGTGTTATAATCTGTACCAAATTTAAGTGCTCTTGATATTGCTAATTAACACACAGCCATTCGCACATGCATGAAAGCCATTTGCGAAATTGGAAAAACAAAGACAACGGGCCACCAAAGACTTTTTGCGCTTGGCGGTTGGAAGTCGAGTGTAATTGTGATTGGGTTGGTGTTGGTGTTGCTTTTGGCTGGCAGTTCATTATTTGGCCAGCTGCTCCTGGATCAGTTAGTTCCTTGGATTGGGGGCTGCACTTGGATGTCTTCCAACGAGTACCATTCGTTTTTTGGTTCAGTAAGGCACTACTGCAGCGGGGCGTATGCGTGATATGTGCGACAACAATGCAAGCTGAGATATTCCGAAGAAGAAACTTTCGAGATATCCAGTGAATCTGTCGGTCTGTCCCTTTTCGGGGCGGAATCTGGCAATGAACGCTTGAGAACACACTTTAAAGTCCATTAGCGTTGAGTGGCCACAAAGGCACGACAGCCGAAGCAACTCCAGGACCCAATCAAACAATTGCAAGTCGCATTGCATATTTATTTATGTATATTCGAATGTATTACAGTCGTACATATTTAGCACAATTTATTCAATTGACAAATTGCCGGTCTGCGACATTTGTCACATGAAAATATGGATGGCCACAAAGAGAGCGAATGAAAATTTTTGTCTATTATTTGTGTTACTTTGCGGTTGTCAAAATATTGATCCCGCCATAAAGCAAAGGAAAAATCTTTTTCGCTTTTTATTGCTGCTACTTTATTGAAGTTTTGTGGTAGGAGAAAAAAAAAATAGATGGAAGAAAAGCAAAAGAATCCAAAAGATATTCCATGAAATATTGTAACTGCTGCAAATTATCGTTCTTCGTTGCTAACATAAAACTTTTACCACCACCAGCCACTCAGCCAGTCCGCCCTTCGCAAAAACCCTGGAATAACTCTATGCAAATGACTCAGACATTTTGCAATTGATGCTGCTCGGGGGAATGGAAATGCAAGACTAGCGAACAAGCTTAAAGTTCTTTAAAATACGCAAAATGCTCTTTTCAATGGCATCCAGCAGTATTGTCCTACTCCTAAAGTTAGCAATTAATATGGGCCGTGTGGCTGGGACATGTAATGAAAATGCTTTCAGCTTAATTCCATCGATTCGGGTCGGCAAAATCATTGGTCGCAACCGAAACCATGTCAGGAGACATTAGCAGGAGACACGACTCGCCATTATTCCGGAAATCTTCGATAATTTCCCATAATCCACAAGCTTCCCCACATACTCGTATGTAGTCAACTCCCCACAGACAACAAACAGAGCAGAACAATACGCACAATGGCATTGGCAATCAGCACTTGAGAGTAGGTGCACTGAGAAAAATAAAAGCCTGAAACATTGTTCTATCTTATTAAATCTAGGCTGATTTTCTTGCTTATCCCAGTTCAACCAAGGAGGACTCTGAACAAGCCAATATCAAAGTCTTAAACCAACTTCCATGCTGATATACGAAAACAAGACTTATTTTTCCTTGTGCAAAAGAGCTTATTGTGAGATTGTGGCTTTAGAACAATGTCTCACTGACTGACTGAGAAAATGAGTGGGAAACTACTTGGGGAATGGGTCATGGGGCATTGGGAAAGGGTTCATGACGAGACATTGGCATTGGCCGCCAGTTGGCTGGCTACAAAGTATAAAACACAGAAAAAGAAACTTTCGCCATTCCCAGGGCAAAAACGATGGGGGGAACTTTCAACATTTACTGCTTGGTGGCTGTTGTAACAAAGTTACAAGTAGCATTTGAAACTTGTCCTGCGAGCTGAGGAGCTTCCTATTGCCTCTGTCCCACATTGCGTATGAGTGATTTTTATGAGCTTCACTCTGCACGTCATGCGTGTATGGTTGTTGTTTGTTATTGTCTGGCCCAAGTTTTCCCTCCCTTCTCTGCCTAGTTTTCATCTGTGGGCCCGAGGGCAGTCGTAATTATACGAACATGACAAGTGCAATTTGCCGGGGGCTCAGCCCTCACACTCTCTTCACCTCAGTTGCTCTCTCGACTTGGCTTCTTCTAATTCTGGTCCTTTTGTTGTGCTCAGACTAATCAAATTAAATCACTTAATTGCATAAATTAGCCCTCTGGCCAAAGGAAAAACGTAAAAAATATAATATAAACTTTTTACTTACAATTTTAGGTTGGTCTGTATCTTGGAGCCAAACATGTTTAGAAGGCATCTGAATTACCAAGAAATGTTTTGATACATTTGAGCTTTCGTTGTTCACTGAACTGAGACTTGGCCAATAAATTAAGTTAGTTCGTGGCCTCAGCATAGGTTTTAATAAAATTCCGGCTCAGTTAATTAAAATGCCGCCCGGAGCCGAGTTTAAAATCTGGGTTCTGACTGCCGTAATTAAGCTGTCAGTCTGGATTCCGACTGTGGAGATCTCACCTAAGTCACAACTCATAACTCATGTGGCCCTCGGGTCGGGGAGTCATGTGTCTGAATATTAGCTTTGAGATGTGCATATGACAAATCTGAAAAGTTTCTAGCCAAGATTTGAGCTCGTTTTAGGTCGTTCCGCTTCTTCTTCATCATCAGCTTCTTTCGCCAGCCGCAAAAGTTTTGCGGATGCAGAATGCAAAGTAATCGTGGGCCTTAACCGGAGTTTCAGCTTTAAGTTGTTTGACTTTGACTTTGGACAAAGGAAATCTTTTGACTCGCTGTTTGCTGCTGCTCATTTTTCCCATAGCTAATTGCGCGGTATCCCAGAACAGAATGGAGAAGTGGAGCATGGAAGAAGAGGAGCCGAGCTGAGCCACTGGACACACAGGGGGTGGGATAATGTCATAAATCACCATGGATATATGCATAAATTATCGCTTGAGCTCTTCCACCGACCAGCGGCCGAAGTCGATTCCCCGAGAAAGGCGAACGCTGCGAAAGTTAAAAAACAAAGCTCACGATAAACGAAGCGACATTTAAGGATTTAACGAGAAAAAATCGCTGTCACGAGGACGCATCGTTTTAATCAGTGGAAGACAGTCATTGTACCGCCTCGTCCTTTGCTGTATTCAGCACCACTCGTCGCACGGTGGAAGGATATTTAGATTTTAAGATCACTATCTCATTATGGTTTAAAGATTGTGTCTTAAATGTTTGGTTTTTTCAAACAAATTAAATGTCTTTCAGATAATAATGTTCCTTAAAATCAGAATAAAGAAATATTTTATATACGAAAGAATGTTATAAAAAATGTAACACAAAATCTTAATTTAAATTACCTAAAGGAAATACGAAAATAATTAAAAAAAGTAAAACTTAAAAATAAAGTTCATAAATTGGGCCACTGTCCTCCGGCACGTGCTCATGTCCAGTTGCCCCGGCTCTTCTTCTCCGAACGCGTTCTCTGCGTCTTCGACTCTGAAATGGTAGCAATATTTTGTCAGGCCAAAGTCAACAGCCGGCAGGCAGCAGACGCCAGGACCCGAAAGACAAAGCTCCTCCCGGCGGGACGGGTAGGGAATTTACATTGGCGTTGCAAAGTATGCAACGCATATTTTTACATCACTTCTGTTTGCCTTTCTCCCAGAGCCACAGCTCGGCAGCAGGGGCAACCGAGGGGAAGAGAGAGTTTTATACATTTAAATGTATTTATTTTTCCCGGAGCCAAAGGCAAAATAAGAGCCGCAGGACTCTTGCGCCGGCTTGAATATGCTTGAAAAGGTGTGGGCCAAAGGATGTGCCAGAGGACAGGCGATTGGGTCGGTCCTTAAATTATTATATTGATAGCTTATGGCTGGGAAAGGGCTAATCGGATAATCAAGTTAAGAATTTATTTGGCTTAACACATTTGTGTTTGGTGGACGAGAGGAGAATGTTTAAAGATTCAATATTTAAACTCTAAATGTTTTTTGATGGAATTTCACACTTCATAATTTTGGTAGCACTATGATCAGCGCCAATTCGTCTTAGATGCATGCTTCGCTAAACTTAGGCAGTTTTTCGATTTGGACCCCGACCACATTTAGGATTTGCTGTGATGCGAATATTCCCGTGCGGATGCAGTAATCCAAGGGCATCCTTTGGACGTACATGGCCAGAAATCCGCCTACAAAGGCGTCCCCACAACCGTTGGTGTCAAAAACCTCGCCACGCTTTACGGGCGGAACGGGATACTCCAGAATGCGGTCGTTATCCTGGAAAACAAGAACCGGGCACGCGGAATCTGTGATCATAACAATGCGAGGGCGGACATTGGCTTTGGGCATCTTCTGTAGCTGCGAGCCAATTGCAAAGACGTCCTTCGTTTTCCAGTCTGTGGTTTCGCTGAAAGCAATGGCCTCCTCCTTATTGCAGATAATGATGTCAACGTACTGAAGGATATTGGCCAGTGCATCCTTCTGCATCTGCAGCACGAACACGGCACTGAAGTTAAGGATCATTATTCTGTTGGATTCGGAGCACATTATCGCCACTCGTTCCACGACCGGGGAGCAGACAGCAAGAAAGAAGCCAGTGATATAGAAGTAAGCAGCACGTTCCAGGGCGCAGGCGTTCTCCTCGTCATCAAGCCAGTCCTCGGAGTAGAGCGAGGCAGCTCCCAAGTTAGCCACCAAAGAGCGGTTTGGTCCATTGATAATCACCGCACACGAGCCTGGGAGAGAGAAATATATCCTCGGGAATTTATCACATTTGTTTGGAAATGCTATGATTGGCTTGTCATACCTGTTGGCAGTTCTTCCTTTACTTGGTAAAGTGTTAGCAGGCCATTGGCTGTGGCTCTCTTTTCGATGCGGTCACCCAGTTTGTCCTTGCCAACGGCGCCGGTAAAAACGGCTCGAAATGGAGTCTGCACGATCCACTGGAAGACGCGCATCGAATTCTGACAGGCTCCACCTGCCGAATAGGTGACGTTCTCCATGTTCATCAGCTCGTCAAACAGTGCGTCATGCTTTTCATCGGCAATGATCGCAGCATTTGGTTCCAGGCCGTACTTCTCCAGGAGCACATTGTCCTCGACGTTGCAGGTGATGTCTAGCAGGGGATTGCCAAAACCCATAATTATTCCCTCAGGTAACTCCATTCTTCGAGTTTCTTTGCCGTCACAGAAAGACCTATAGCCAGCTTTAGGGCTTTGAAGATATGGATGGATTGAGATTCCTCGCAGCAACGGAAAATATTTTATACTAAGGCCTAAAATCCGAACGGTCATTCCCAAAATTAGACCCACTTCGTTTCTTGAGAAAGCCTACATCCGGTGTTGAATACTTTCCACCAATCTATTTTACATGCTTTCCAAATGTTTCTTGATACTAATTTTGATTGATGTAACGAAATTTATGAGTTGAGGAGAACAGCCCTCCCCCAACGAGGAAATTTATTTCCCTCAGTTGCTTAAAATGTTAATTACCTGCATAAATCAATCAGGACAATTAATATTGTTGTGGCCCAATTTAATGTGCTATTAATTACGTATCCATCTTGTCGATGGAAGTATGTATAATTGCTCTGCAATTACGATGGCCCGACTGCGCACGGGGAATGGGGAGGTGGCTTTGTGGGGCTTTTATTTTCATTTTTCTGCCGGAGATGAATGAATTGAATGTAAGTGGGCTTGACAAGCTGGCTGAAGGGGCCACCTAAGGGGGGAGTGAATGCAGCCACCCAGAACGTGAATGTCCTTCCGCCGCCAAAAAAACATCATCAGTGGGGCAGGCAGAAGGATGGGGAATGAAAAACAATGGCATTTGCAGTGCTTTGCACAAGTTGCCTGGCATAAATTTTAATTTTTATGCAACACAAAAGCTGCAGAAGCAGCCCGAGCTTCCGACGCGCGTTGGAGCCACACGAAATCAGAAATTATAAATTAAGCAACGAAAGGCAGATACTCTAAGTTAATATAACAGTTTGTTATGACAAGAGTGTTAAATATAACATTAAATTTGATATAAAACAATCAAAACAATCAAAGAAAATCGTTTTCAAAAAAATATTTTATTTATATCTAAAGAAAGCTGATAATTAATCCAAATTAGTTTCGTTTGCACTAACTACAATAAATATTATCTTCTATTTAGAATAAAAAAATTTGAGTCAACAGTGGCATTGAAATTAAATTGATTGATAATTGATTCCTTTGTTTGTAGCTTAAAATATTTATTTAAAGAGCATTTTTTATATAAGGATACTGTAGCCCACCTTGGCTTGAAAAAACGCCATCATTTTATTATCAATATTTGTCGCCATAAAACTGCGATATACCATAAACTATGTACATTAATTCGGAGTAATTTTGAAAATAAATTGTGCTGTGAAAATGTGTTTTTAATTTCGCTTTCAGTTGGATCCCATACATACATACAGTACAGCATATACCCTTTTTTGGGCAGGATGAGGTGTGGGGGCGGTTGGCAATGGCGTCGTTTATCGCTCGCGAGCTCCGCAAAGTATGCAAGCGGTTTTTCACTTTGCCTCTCCTGTTGTTATTTTTGTTGGTAGCTGCAGCAGTAGTAGTAGCATTGCTGTTGTTGCTGTTGTTGTTTTTGTAGTTCTTGTTGCCTTTGTTCGCTCGGTAAGTACTTACTTATGTGCCAGGGCATTATTCTTGGCTGTGTTCCTTTTGCTAAACCACTGCTGCTGCTGCTGCCGCTTTTTCCAACAAGACCGTCAGTAGAAAAGCTTCAGCAGCAGGAGCGATTGCAGATGAGATGAAGATGAGAAACAGGAGGAGGTTGAGAGGGAGGAGAAGGGGTAGGATCTAGAGCTGGAAGAAGCGGTGGCAGAAGGGAAAACCGCAGCGGTGACGTGGCAATGCAGCTGCATAATGTGGCATGCGGTTTGCATTAAAAATGATATTGCAACACGAGCCGCACATCTGCAGCTGTGTGCAGTTAGGCGCCGCCTGCAGTCACTGACAGCCGCATGGCAATTATAATCCACACACTCATACACACTCAGACGCACACTGCCGCACGCACACTCATCCTTGGCTTAAGTCTACACTGCAGTGCACTGGGAAAAATTGTAGTGTAATTATCAAACCAACAAGAACGATTACAATGCCAGAACTACAAATAAATTTATTCCTATGAGTCCTTAGGAAATTCAGCTGCAAGATGTCTAAAATAATTTCCTTTATTTTTAGTTTTTTTACGCTCAACCTATTCTCTTAGTGTACTAACCGAGAAGTGCGAGAGAATCTGGAGCTGGGCCATGTAAGCAGCAGCTGCCAGTGACACACACATCAACATGACACCCTGTCGCTTGACAAAGCTTAGCTCAGGATCTGAGAGCTGGGAGCTGGGAGCTGGGAGCTGGGAGGTGCCACCGCAAGTCTCCCTCCAACCCATCCCCCATATCATTTTCCACACATCCAGAGACATTCACACGCTCGACATGTTGCTTTTTGGGGATGAGCCGAGAGGCAGGATGTCCGCTTCCTTTTTCGCCGCCTCGCACGTTGTTATCTAACAAGCTTTTTATGTGATTACCTTTTGCCTTCTGTTAGTTTTACTATAATTTGGCCTTTACGCTTAACGAGATTGTTGTAAGGTGCTTCCAGCCGAGAATAAGGAAACCGACCCGGAATGAAGGGAGGGCATTTGACCAGATCCTGCATACAGGACACTCGCTCCATTGTACTGCACTCTGCTGTTGTTCCTTTGCTTTCCTGATACTTAGACCCGAACAATGAAACTAAGTTGGAGCAATATGAATGGAGTCATGTCGATATGAGCTTAGGTTCGTTGTTAAGTGATAATCCTGGAACAGTACCTCCATTTCCTGTACCTTTTCCACATCTCAACAAACATTTATTACTGCGCTTTGGGAAATTTTAGGTATAAAAGATATTAAGAAACAACAATTTTCTATCTTTCTGATAAGAATTTTTTCGAAGGTGATATCCTGGATCAGCTTAATATGCGAAAGATGAGTAAAATCGTAGCCAAGCAGAACAGCAGAATGTTGATGGATAACCGATAGGCGAACAGGCAATTACACATTTCTTCATTGCGGTTGCGTGACTAGGGGCCTCATCTATGCGGATTGGTGGGGGGCAGCAGGTCCTTTTCCGATTCATTCTTCTGCCGTCTTACTCGTTATTTCCTGTCTGTGTCAGTCTGCAGTGTCTATCATGAGTATAAGTCCAAGGCCTGCTTACCACTCTCAGAAAAGAAAACTTAAATAAATTATTTTTTATCCAAAATGTTCAAGATTTTTGAATACGGAATATTAAATTAGTATTATACTAGTATTATTAAAATCTAATATTGTTTCAAACGTTTATTTTTCTTAAATTCTTAGTAAAGATTTATGGAAACTTATATGAACATGGTAAAACTTCTTTTCGCATTATCGCCTTTAGATAAATAAGCTGAGAAATCCTTAAGTACCATCAATTTCAATTGCGTATTACAAACTTATTGTAAACTTTTAGTATTTTTAATAACCTTTAAAGCCCCTTTTAAGACCTGTCAACCCTGTCCCAACCTGTCAAATCGACCTGTCATATATTTATCAAGAACAGGTCAGTGTAATTTTCACCCCGAGAAAAGCGGATCGGGATTTCCATAGCACAAAAACTTCAATACTTTTTATTGGTTATATTCGATATTCATTAACACGGCCATGTCCAACTACGCGCCGTTCATCAAGCCGTACGTGGAGTACAACGAGCACGGATGGGGTCCATGTGAGGTGCCCGTCTTGGATGTGCCCTACCAGCCGTTCTGCAAGAGTGATCGCCTGGGTAAGATCTGCGACTGGACTGTGTCACTGCCGGATAGGAAGTTCCCCAACAAGTATTCCTCGTCCTTTGGCAACAACAGTCAATATGCGTACTTCCACGAGGACGATGAAGCCACCTTCCGTTTGGTGGATAACTCTGGATCGAAGGCTTTTAGGCCCTATCAGCGGGGACGCTTCCGTCCCAATATCCGCAACAATGCCCGGGCCAGGGGTCGGACGGGTCGTGGCAACAACATTCCTGGAATGCACGGAGGTCCCACAGCTGGCGGTGGAACATCCAACATTGCCAAGTACGGGAGGGGTCGAGATGCACGCCGGAATATGGGTCGCAGATTCAACCGTAATGCTCCTACACGACTTCGCGAGAGTTCCGTAGTGGTGCGTTCCAATTGGGTTTCCATTGAGGAGATTGACTTTTCACGCCTCCTCAAACTGACACTGCCAAATATCAAAGAGGGCCAGGACATTACCACCTGCGGCTCCCTGGAGTACTATGATAAGCTCTATGATCGCGTTAATTTGCGGAATGAGAAACCGCTGCTTAAGATGGATCGCGTTGTGCACACCGCCACCACAACGGATGATCCGGTCATCCGTCGCCTCTCCAAGACTATGGGCAAAGTCTTTGCCACCGATGAGATCTTGGCCACCATAATGTGCTGCACTCGTTCGAATTACTCTTGGGATGTGGTAATCGAGAAGTTGGGCACCAAGGTGTTCCTGGATAAAAGGGATAGTTCTCAATTTGATTTGCTGACTGTCAACGAGACTTCGCTGGAGCCACCGATGGACGAGGAGGGCTCCATCAATTCAGCTCACAGTTTGGCCATGGAGGCTACACTCATCAACCATAATTTTAGCCAGCAGGTAAGTTGCTTTCTAGTTATTTTCAATTTTCATTGATCGATATCATAATCTTTAAGGTTCTTCGCATTGGTGACCATGAGCCACGTTACAAGTTCGAGGAGCCGAATCCTTTTGAGGAGCCGGGCGTAGAACTGGCCTCCATGGGCTATCGCTACCGCCAGTGGGATCTGGGAAACGAGATAGTGCTGATTGCCCGCTGCAAGCACAATGGGGTTATCCAAGGTCCAAATGGGGAGATGCAGTTCCTCTCGATTAGGGCCCTGAATGAGTGGGACTCCAAGGTGACCAATAGTGTGGAATGGCGCCAGAAGTTGGACAACCAACGTGGTGCTGTCTTGGCCTCTGAGCTGCGCAATAATGCTTGTAAGCTGGCTCGCTGGACTGTGGAGGCCGTGCTGGCTGGATCTGATCAGCTTAAGCTAGGCTATGTGTCTAGGGTCAATCCCCGCGATCATCTCCGTCATGTGATCCTGGGCAGTCAGCAATTCAAGCCGCAGGAATTCGCCACACAAATCAATCTGAACATGGACAATGCCTGGGGAATATTACGTTGCCTCATTGACATTGTGATGAAGCAGCCAGATGGAAAGTATCTAATAATGAAGGATCCCAACAAGCCAATGATCCGCATCTATGACATACCCGAGAACGCCTTCGACTCCGATGGAGACGCGGATGACGACTCCAGCGAGCCCTTTGGCAACTCCATCGATAACTAATGTTTACACAAATTCATTTAACTGATAGTTGTTCGAATAAAGGGATCCGTTGACAGGCGACACATGCCGCACTGACAGATGCGCTGTGAACACAAATGCAATTTAAATTGAGTTTTTGACCAAATACAACATATGAGCGGGGGCGGTTGCCAGCACATGACATGTCAGGGAACAATGGTCGACGGGGGGTGACCGGGTGCAGTCACAGTTATTTGGAGGATAACATGGCCACATCAATCACTGCGGTTCCAAGAAATACAAAATGAAACCCAGCTAAATAAATATGCATTGTGCAGAACATCCCCGCCATTACCGACTGACAATCACAATAATTGAACGCGGGGGCAAGGGCAGCGGAGATTGTTTGGCTGACAAACCTCAGGTTCAATAAATCACCGAATACGGCATCAATCAATGCAAATTCTGATGCTCCTGCTGCTGTGGTGCTACGCGTGTGACAATTTAAGCAAAATGTTTTCGTATTCAACAGCATTTAATTAAATTCATATATATGCTCAAATTTCATATGCATCCGGTCTTTTTGTTATTCGGCAATTCAATTTGGCCAGTCAGTGAGCACAAAAGTGCAGAAATTATTCCCCAACGAACGGAAATGCAAATCGCTCAACTAAATTACCAAAATGTTTTGCACATTTCTGTTTTTGTTTTGCCATCCGCCAATTTCTTTTTGTTGCTCGCCAAATTGAATTTAGACCTATTCAATTTGCATGGATAAGTTCGCGATGGTGTGAGTAAGCTGATGCGAGGGTGTGAAAATATTTAGTGAATTTTCAAAAATGAAAATTTCCAGAAAATTAATTTTAATTTCCTGCCAGTGGCAAATTTGATTGATAAACTCTGGTCTATTAATAATTTACTTAACTGGGCAGTGAACAGATTAACAACGCATTACGTATACGTATGTTATACACATCTAGTATACGCACAGTTGGAGAACGGAGCACTTGAACTTGCCAGTAAGCAGCAGTGAAACACCAAAGTGTTATTCAATTAAAACATTTTGTTTGCTAAATCAACATGTGAGACTGTGTGGATGCAGGACCAACTTACGGAATGACTTTTGCGGAATGGTTTTTTAAAGCGTTTGCCGCAGAAAAGTTGGCTCCGGCTGGTTAGCTGCTCGAGTGGCTTCAGCAACCATGTAGTAGCGAACTGGAGAACTACCAACTACCAGCTTTAGCTACCAGCTTTGGCCTTAGCTTCTGGCCAGGACTGGCATGGCATTTCAAGGTCTGCGCTTGGCTAACCACGCCGTTGAAAGGCGTTTAACAAACTGGCAGGCCAGGCTGGCTAGGGCACTTGCCAGCGGCAACAACTCCGACCCCGAGACCGAGCCCAAGCCCAACTCAAGTGGGGCCTTAACGCAAAACTTTGTACATTTTATCGCATATGCAGGGCTGCGGGCCATTCCGGGGTCCTACAAATAGGTGTGGGGTTGAGAGGGTCGTGGATGGCCAAGGCATTTGCATATGCAGCCACAAACACCGCCCGAGTGAAAAGTTAAGCGTTGAATGAGGGCGACAAATTGCAAATTAAACTCTTTTGCATTTTCCCAGCATCACATGAGGAATAGTTGTAAATAAAACTGCCACACCCGCGTCAACTTTTCCTACTACTTCATCCTCCACCCTCCTCCGCCGCCCAGCGACCTCTGACTAAATTCAATTTCATTTCAATTTGCCCCACGCGTTTTTTTTCTTTTGATACTGGAACGGGAAGCCGTCTGAGCCGCATTAGGAAACCAAATGCGACTTAAAGTTGCCACCAAAGCATTTGGCTTCGGGCCCTCTAGCCGTTTAAGCAACGGATTTGCCATCTTTGGACATTAGTTGGGATCAAGGGGGCAGGGTGCCAAGGATTTTTTGGGCGGAGTGAAGAGTTTAGGAATGTTTGTAAGCCAAAAGTTTTGTGTTCTTTTGGCCAGCTCGGATTTCGCCTTTGCCTTTTGGCATATTTAATTTGCCGACTTGTGCCAGTTTTTCTTTTCTCTTCCTTTCGAGGATCCTGTCAATTTTGTGACATTTGCTTTGGGCGCCATTCACCGTTAACTTTTCAAATGCAGCTCATTTAAATATCATTTGTCAGTTTAAAAGTTTGCCACGAGTCAGTTAATCGAGGATATAGCTTCGGGTCAGTAATATAGGTAAGGGTTCAGTTTAAAAATGGTTTGATTTCTAAGAATTTGGATGGATAAATCTTAAGAAAAACTAACCGCCGAGCAATCAAAGCCTTTGACTTATGTTTCCATTTAATGGTTTTTTAATTAGGGGGACATTTTTTGTATTTATGTAAGCCTTGCAGTATTTACATTATTCAACCTTTTATACAAAATTTAAATATATAATCCAATAGAACCCTAAGGGAAGATTATTCTACCACAGCTCACACCTGATGACCTTGTTCTTCTCTTCCAAATGAAACTTTCTCAGTCGAGTTGCTCCCAATTTAATATATTTAAATTACCCTTTTTGTATTTTATACGCTCGACCAGGCAGCGACGAGTGGGCACTGTTGTTACCTGCTACCAACGAAATGAGAATTGTTATCAATGCCACAACAACACCTCCATCAAATACAGCAGAGACAGAAGCAACGAAAACAAATTTCACCGCCATCTAACAAATCTGCAACAATAGTGATAATTTTTTCCACTTCTTCAGCTCGTTTCGCAACGAGTTCTGTTCTGGCCAAAGTTTGTGCAAACATTTTGACAAAGTTATTTTTTTTTTGGACTCCCGCGATTTGAGCTAAAACTTTTTCGGTGGCGAGAAAGAGAATAATGTCTAAAATTATGTAGATGCAATGAGGGGTAACTGACGCCCGGGAATGTGCACATAATTCGATGAAATGAATTGGTTGCAGTTGCAGTGCCAGCTGCGAGTTAACTGACAATCCGCCCAATGATTGCATATAAAAAAAGTTCTTGGATCCCGCAGAATTATCACCCCAGCCGGCCCAGGCCGGAAATCATTTTCCTTTTCCGGCCAGGCAAAAGGGGATTCAGTTCAGGGTTCAGTTCCCGACTTCCATCCTGTGCGGCCGCAAAAAAAAGGGAATATTTTTCACGTCTCACTTGGCTCCTCAACTCCTCGGCTCCTGACCAACTGCGGGCTGTGAAGCAACTTCTGTTTTACAGATTTCTAATTCGTTTCCTGCCTGCGAACGAAAGTCTGGCTGGCTGGCTGGCTGGTGGAAGTCTGGCTGGCTAGGGTTACAAATCTCGAATGAAATTCATTGAATACTTGTCAAAAATATTCCAGTAGCCAACGTAATTGGATTCTTTCTTGCCGTTGTCACCCAGTTGGGCACATGTGCACTTTTGCACTCTCGAATATTTTTCGGCAGATTAGAAATTCGAATGCTCGGCATTTATGCATCATACCTGGTATTCAGATTTAATGGTGGTTTAAGATTCACTGAATAATTTAGGTGGCTTTGAAACCATCCTTGTGTGTAGATGGCTTTAAAGATCCTAATTTGGAAGGCTACCCAAAAATGAACTAGAATATTGTATGAAGAAAAGATAATGTTTCCATTCGGGATATAAGAAGGAGATTGAAGATATGATTTTAGCGGCAATATAACTCAATGATAAAAAGCTATCTCCTCAGCCAAAGCCAGTTACAAAACCCAGCTTAAAAGTGTGTTTTTTATTATGTAAATCAAAGAAAAGATCAAAAGCAAAACACGATCTTGGAACGTGATTATTCCAGGCAGGTCTCACTTTAAATGGCAAAGTGGATGGAAAACAGTGATGTGGTTTAACTTTGGCCCCGGAAAGTGGAGCGAAAAGTAAATCAACAAGTTGGATAAACTTGGCTGTCAGACACCGATGGAATATTTTAAGCACGACGAGCTCTTAACTGCTTTAAGTTTTCAACATAAATATCAAGTATACGCACCGGATACCCCAGATACCCCGGTATACCCACATCTCCACACACACACACACACACGCACATGGCATAAGAATAAGGTGGAGGCGAAACCCAAATCCAGATGCCAAGGGAAAAAACATAAGAATGAAAACAAACGAAACAGACAACAAAGTTGGTTTACTTTTGGGTTCGTTTCAGTTCTTTTGTACATTTCGCCACAAGCATGAAAATCGATTACCTGTTTCAAATGGAAAATATCTTATATATATCTGTGTATATATATATAGATTTATCTTTGAGTGGGTAAGCTGATTGTCTGACTCCCCGCATATTCGCCCGCAGCCCGGCATCAGACTTTGCATAAACGAATTGTAAACACAGAGCAGCAGAGCAACAGAGGGGCGGAAGGGGCCCTGAAATTATGCGAAATGCGTTTTCCAGTTTCTAATTTCGGCATTGATCCTCGATGATTCCTATTCCTCGGACACCAGCAGACGTCGAGTGGCAATTTGCAATGAATTTGCTCAATTGCACCAGCTTCTGCTGCGTCTGCTGATGGTGCAACAAGAGGAGCTCCTTGTGTCCATTTGCTTGCCTGCTTTGTTTTTTATTTTATTTGCTACAAATTGGGTTTTATCATCTGCCCAATGTCGATGTTGAGGGACAGCTGATGCAGCGCCGATGACAACCATGTCCTTCTGTCTGAGTTGGCCAAGTTTCGCACAAAATTAAATTCCGTTTCGTCCCTCTCAGTAAACTGGCATTGTTGGATGGGCGTCATCGAAATTTTCATCACTCACCCCACTGCCGATGTCCAAACAAAAAGGGAAAAATCAAAGGAGGTGGAAGAGAAGAAGCAGGGGGTTCGGGGACCTCTTTCTTGGCCCTTGGCTCAGTTGCACATACTCAATCACAATCTGAGTGCGGTGGCAAGTGGCAAGAAAAAGATCAAGTGCCACACTTGTTGGCGTCGCAAAAAGGAGACTGATTATTCGGATGGGGCCGGCAAGAAGAGAAAAGTTATCAGAAATTTTTCTGCAAAACAATCAGACTCCTATCGATTACTTTAGAATTAAAGTTCTTCTTTACTTAGGATATTAAATATTATTTAAACGGCATTGAAAATTATTTAATCTAACTCTCAAATTAACAACGATCGCCTTATAAAATTG